TGGTCTGTGTGACTCAAAGCCCCCGGCATGCACTCAGCCCAGTATGAGGATGAGGATGGAGACGGACACACACTGAACTGCTCGGACCCCAGGGATGGCACGGAGTCCAGGCCAAATGCCACCCAGACAGGCTCAAGCAGCACCCAGTTGGGTCCAGCCCTGGAGCCCCAGTCTCAGAGGTGGACAGGCACTGGGCCCCTGTTCTGCCTGTACAGGATGCCCTGCCATTCCCAGTCTTTTACCCTTAAGTCACCCTTTGTTACACCTGTTTTACTTCAAACAACCACCCAGACCAGCCATAGAGAGAACAACCCCCACTCTGAGAGGAGCCTTGTAAGCCAGCTGTCTGATGTCTGCCTTCCCTGAAGCCCCCAGTCCCAGCTCTTGTTGCCTCCCCTGCCTCTCCTCCTCCTGCCTCTCTTCCTCTCTCCCTTCTTTGCCTTATGGTGGTCCTTCCTGCAATTAACTCCCACCACCCTGACTTCCTGCAACTGCCTTTCTTTCTAGGAAACTTGGGCCTATGCACCCCAAGTTCTTCCTGTTCATATTGGAACCTGGAGCAAGGGGTCACAGTGTGGCCCATGCCCAGCAATACCACCTCAGCCTCAGGAAACAGCGACCCCTGTAGGTAAGGCATGCGCTGGGCATCCTTTCCCATGAGTCTTCATCTAGGGCCCAGAGTGGCTCAGACCTGGGCTAACTCTCACACCCCACCTCTTGTCCAAACCTGCCCTTTGACGTCACTCAGCAATGATCCTAGTCTATAGATGAGATAGAGTCCACCTTCCTTCTACAGAAGGGACAAGACGCTAACAAAGGGCCACCCTGGCATTTCTCTCCAGATCAACGCTTGCAAAGTTGAGAGTGAGAGAAGGATGACAGGCAAATCAGAGGCAGAGCCACCTCTCCTCCCTGCACCCCGTCTCCTGTGATTTGACCACAGTCCAATTCCTAGTGTTGACACTAGTGGGATGGCAGGCAGGGATCTTGGACATAAGCAAGTAACTCTAACTCCCAAGGAATAGTGACACCCCTCCTTGCCTCAAATCTCCAGAGGTTTTGGAAAATAATATCCCCTGCTTCTCCCTCCACTGAAGAAGGGGGCTAAGCCAGGGAGGGAAGAAGCTAGAGAAGCATTCTCAGGGGAGAACAAGGATCCTAAGTCTAAGCCGGTTCAATCAGAGCCTGGTCAATAAAAGCCCTTTCATCCCCTGGATGAGAAGGAGGGAATATGTCTGGGGTTCCCGCAGCTTCCTCAATTGTAAGATCAGAGGTGTTACTGGGCAACTGACTTTTACATCCTTTTACATCCCAGAGATTCCTAGGCAAGTTCAAAGCCAGCAACGCTATATTCCCCAACCCTTGGCATCAGGAAGGCATGGGGAGGGGGAGGTTCTTTATTCAGGGATGTGTTCTGCCCAAGGTGGCCCCAGGCCTGAGTTCAGCGCTATCAGTGCTCATCCCACTCACCAAGGCACCCACAGGAGTGCAGCACGCACCCAGACAGAAGAGTCCAAGACAGCCATAAGGTGAAGGTAGCCATCCCAGGCCTGGTTCCTGCACTGCCATGGACACATGCTTGGTGCTGCTGGGAGGGACCTGGAGAGGCTATTCTGTCCATCTGCAGGTCAGCTCTCCTTATTCCTTATCAGTAGTGTGTTTTCTAATACTTTCTGGCAGATGAAATGCTCACAGGGCCTCTTTCCAAGACTATCTAAAAGGTGTCATTAGAAACATTCCCTTGCAACTTGAATTGCCCTACTGGGCTTCCCTTCCCGCAGGCACAGTGATTGTTCATTCCCCAGGCCCCCAAACCCAAGTCGATCTTCCCCGAAGTCAATGCTGACTGTCACGTGGCTATTGATACCTACAACCAGAGACACATGTTCATATCCCACACTCTCCCTCAGAGCCTGCCTGCTTCTGCTTCTAGGATATGCTTCTAGCCCATATCCTAGGGACAGAGAGGCTGAGGAGGATACAGCATGTCCCTTGCCTGGCACCACTGCTCAGAGACAAGGATGGTAAGTAACTCTGGGAATGTTTATGCCCCCTCCTGTCCCCTCCCTCTGAAAATCACTTCTGCTGATGGTGGTGGGAAGGAAGCAATTCTCTTTGGTGATGGCTACCTAGCTGTTTCCCCTCCCATTGTATGGCTAAAGTATTAGTGAGAAGGCACAAGAGGAGAGGAGGAGTCCTGGCGGCTGCCTAGGGTTCCCACCATCAGAGTTACTCTGGAGGATGTAATCTCAGCTGAAGTCACAGCTGGCAAATCAGCACACCTCCTGTCCACTCCTCGCTGTGTCTGTTGTCCCTGGACTGGACAGGTCCATTGCAGACATGGAGAGCAGAGGCAAGGAGGAAGGGCTGAAGGGAAGACACAGCAGTCGGGGGGGGGGGGAGCTGTCAGAGCCTGGAGCAGGTAGGCAAGAGGAGACAAGCTTTCCATAGGGAAAATTATCCATGTCGAGGTCAGAGGAGAGTTATCATTTAACCCTGGGCTGAATTAGGGAGCAGCTAGAAGGGCGGTAAGCCCCAAAGTGGCACTGGCTTATAAACAGAGGGAACCACATGCTAGGCAGACATGTTCTTGGGCTGGGATGCTGTTTCTAGCCAGAGCAGGAACCAGGCTTTGGAACCAATTCTGATCACTGCTCAGTGGAGACCATGGCTGGGCAACTGAGTAGAGGAAGCAGGGACCCTCTGTTACCTAAGAGGGTCTAGGGTACTAGAGTCTCATCAGAAGAGGCAGGGTCAACCCCACAGGTGGCTTAATGCACACCAGAAGGCACCACAGCCATTGCTGAGGATTTTCCACCAGAATTTTGGGGAGAAAACTGAGGAGAAATGACAAGTTCATTCGTTTTCTGTCCTCAAAATCTGGCATGGAGCCGAGCACCTGTCAGGAGCCCGGCAACCATTTGCAGATCTGAGCTGAATCAGAGGAGAAGAGCAGTTTTCTGATATTCCAAGGTGGAGTGTTTGGTCCCAAAATATCCACATGGTGTGTGAACTACCCTGGCCAACCCACAGATTGTCAAACAGATGGGCAGCAATCCTAACAGACTGCAGATACAGGTGGATGAGAGGATTAGCTTCACTGGGTGAGATATGAGCAGATCAGTTTGGGGAAAAAGTGCCCAGGTTTGGGGAGGATGAGAGGGAAGAGAGTGGTGGGCTGGATGCTGGGCCCATGTCAAAAATGCAGAACCTGAGCTCCATTTGCTTTGGCACCCACAGACCATGCAGAAGGTTCTTATGTGCATCAAACTGAGAACATCTGATATTATCGGCACATCTCTCTGTGTGACCTGCTTCCTACCCTCATGTCGCATAGAAGCTGGAACCCGGGAAATGCGCTTGATTGATGGGCAGGGCCCCTGAGTTCATTCTGTATAGCATGAGAGTTTGGTTCTTATTTAAGTGTGTTTGAAATGACACTTCTCATCCCCCTTTCAATCACCACTCACAAGAGGGTAGCACAGATCGGCACAGATGCCCACTGAACAAGGCAGACTCCCTACTGCTGGACCCACCTGCCTTGGGTCCCAGGATGCCAGGACTGGGGGTGGGCAATGAACCTGACCAATGAGCTTTGTGCTGACTTGCATGGTACTCTCTCTGCCTCTCCCCTTAGGTGCCCTGAGCACATGCTGTAACAATTACAGAAGAGAAAGACTCATGTTTAAACTTGAACCAGGAAGTGTAGCAAGGATCTCTCTCTCCCTGGACAGCAGGCCCTGGACAATGTCTGTGTCTCACTTCCTAGCAGAGGGGTTTCGGACCTGTGGGAAGTCACATCTTGGCTGGCCTAGTTACTGGGGATGGGATAGCACAGAGGGCTAGAGGAGGAAAGCATGGTGGCTGCTCACCAACCACAGATCTGGCTGGCAAAACATACGCAAACTGAAGGAAGCAGGTGTGCAACAGAAATAGAATCCATCTAGAGAGGGGATGCGGAGATAAATGAGCGAAGGTGGGAGGAAACCAAATTGAGCAAAGTAGCATCCTCTTCCAAAACCAAGCCTCAGTTTCCTTGCCTGACTCTCATTCTCCCGCTGCCTGGAGATTCCTCGAGGAGGTGCTCGTGAGGTCCTACTTACAGCCTTTGAATTTAAAGGGGGAACCCTGCCCTATTCTAAGCCCCCCCACTCCCATGTAATCCAGGCTCAGAGGATGGCCAGGAAAGGAGCCCTGGTGTCTCCTCTGCCCAGATTTTCTAACTTGGGGATAGGCCTTCAGTGGCCTAGAGTCCTTCGATGGCCCTCAAACCCATGGCATGAGGACTCAAGGGGAAACTTGGCTAGCAGGTCTGCTCCTAAGCTAGAGCCACCTGCCCAGTCCCTGGCTTCTGTCACAGTTCCATCTCTCAGGCCCCAAGAGTGGAGGTCATTCTTAACACTAAAGCCTTCGAGAAGCTGGGTTTCTGAGGGGTGGGAGGAAGATCAGAGCCCTGAACTCACTGAGACTCCAGGTCCTGGAACACCTGGCCCACTCAAAGACACACTTACTCATTGTCACTGACCAGAACCCATGGTAGCTGGCGAAACTGGTGCTGGGTCCCCCATGCAGCATGCAAGGCCAGCATGCACAGTGCGCTCACCCTTTCAGAGGATGGTAGCCTGACCATGAGCCAGGAGCCAGCTGTCTCCAATCCAGCATGCTTCCAGGCCATCTCTGTGTTCTGAGATGTCAAGCCCAGGCAAGGGAACTAATTATGCTACTTCAGAGCAAACTGCAATGCCAGAGAGCTGTCAGGAGCCCTCGCATGAGACCCCTTCTAAATTACCCTCTTCTTCAGCGGGGGACAAATGTTAAGTGATGGGGGACAACATGCTCTGGTCCTTGCCCCTTTAAAGTCTGGCTTCTCCACCACTGAAAGGGTGAGTCTGAAGCATGCTTTCGGCCCAAGCTTCTCCCTCCTACTCCACCCTGGCTGGGCTGGGCTCCACCTGCATGGCCCCATGCCATGCCCATTACCTCTGCTGCTGGTACAGTACCTGCAGTTGGAGTAGCTTCAGACACAGCACCCAAGATGGCCAGAGAGAGAGGGGAGAGGATGAGAGAGGGAAGAGAAAAGAGATCATAGGTGAAACCACAGGACATGCAAGCAGAGATGGTTGGGCTCAAACCTGACCTTGACACTGTGGCCAGGTGCTGGCTGCCACCCTGAGGATGCCAACTGGTATTTGATGCCAACTGTGACAGTCAACTCCACTGGAGTCAGACAGATTCCTACCTTTCCACTTGGGGCTTGAAGACCTTTCTAAAACACTCTGTTCCTACTTTATTCAAGGGTTAGTCACCTAGGAGGCAGTAGCAGGGGCCATTTCGCCTAGAATGCCATGTCCCCAGCTCTTTCTCCAAAGGTGTGTTCTTCTCTGGCTGGGTTGGATGACCCTCTAAGATGCCAGGAACTGAGGATATAAGGTGTGGGTGAGGCAGGAGACACCAAGCCTAGTCAAAAAGATAGTTACTATATCTTTGCAAGAAGATGCTAAATAGTGTTGGAGTAGACAGGAGAGGGGTGTGTGCTTGGCTGATCCCCCCACCTCAGTCCTGCAAAGCCCTAGAGTCTCTGTAATGGTGTTCTGCTGTCCCAATTCTTTCCCACTGGTTGAACTTTATGAAATTAAGAAACTGAGTGTAGACTGAGAGCCTCAGAACAAATCACCAAATTTTCCACAAAGCCCTAAATTGAGAAGAAAAAGTGCTCTGTTCTCTTGTACCCTAGGGCTGTAGAAGTTTTCCTATGGTGGTCACTGGAGCTAGACAATGGGGTTTTGTGTGCTGTTCTGTATTGGGTGGAGATGGGGGTGGGGAAGAGGCCCTCTGTATATCTCTACACAGCCAAGGAGAAAGTGCACCATTGCCTGGCCTGGCTTCTGGGAACAGTCTTCATCAGTCACTTACCCAAAGTCCCCCAGCGCTAATAAACTTCCTGAGTGCCCAGGGGTCAGAAGAGGACACCAGAAGGGGGAGCTTGTTATGTAAATCACTTCTGATTTACAAGATCAGAGAGGGACCCAGAAAAGGCTGCAGGGTGCTGATGAGCTGCACAGGAGCCTGGGTTAAGGCAGCAGTCCCAGACGGTAGCACAATGCTCTCCTGGGATGGGGGTGGGGTGGTGCTCAGGCCACCTCACCCAGGTCAGGGTCAAGCTGAGGGACCTGAACTTTCTAGGGAAAGTACTAGACACAGTAACGTGGCAGACCCTGGGATGCCCATTCCCATCACCCCTTTGGCAGGTACCTCCTGCAGGACAGATTCCCTCCCGCACCTGGCCACTGCACTTCCTTCACCTAGGCTTACAATCGGATACTCTGGTGGATACCTTCACTGTGAACTTCCTTTGTGCCCCTTGTTTCTGGCACAGTGTCTGGCACCATATTTGTGAGTGCTCAAGAAATGCTGTTGCATAGGCCACCATTTGTACCTCTGGAGAGGCAGAGGGGTCCCCACCTTTTCACAGGGCTCTGCCAATATTGAGGCCTTTGCAGTCTTGCAGCCCTCGAGAGGTTCCTAGGGAAGCCAGCATGTGTGCGGGTGAGCCTGGAGCACCCTCTACTGGAATCTTGAGGCAGGCATTGCTCTGGTGGGGGAAGCTTCTACTGGAACAAGCCAGGACCAGAGGACTGGGGTGATGAGCTCACTTGCTCTTTGTGAAGCTGGCTTGGTAATGGGCTCTGTCCCACCTCCTCCTCTCTACAGCCCGACCACTCATCTAATCCAGGCTGCAAAGAGGGACCACATTCCCTGCTCTACTATAGATCTGGGCAAGCAGGTTGATGTCACGCTTTCCCCACCTCCTTGATCCCACATGCCCTTGGCAAAAGAAGGGCTGTCCCAGGTCCTCATGGGCATTCTCAGTAATATCCCTGCTCCTTCAATGGACACCATTTTCCTTATTCTTGGTGTTATTCACTAGCATATTTACTTTCACATTTTCCCCTTCATCTACTTCTCTCGACTCATGCTATTATCCTTATTCCTCTATGAGAAAGGTGGCAGATGGTCCAAGTAGCTGAGTGAGTCAATGGCGGCCCATTTTTGCCTGCGTCTCAGGAGACCCACCTTTCCAGATACAGAATCAACACCTGTCTCCCAGCACATAAGACACACCTTCTACTGGGGTTGAAAACTGGTGGCCTCACTTCCTCTCCATCCCAGAAGGCAGGCCCAGCCCTCGGTGTGTTTTTTATCATCTGAATTAGCTGGGGCTCTTCACCCCAGGAGCTGCTGCCACAGACCTACCTTCATTCGGGGGGGCTGGAGACTCCTCTGTGATCGCTTCCCCAGAGCCCACCTGTGTCCTGGCGCTGAGGGTGAAGCGGTAGCGTGACACGGGGTCTGCTCTCTGCATCGAGAACTTGGTCTGATTGGGAGAGAAGTTTTCCACCATCTGCTTTCCCACTTTGGTTCCATTAACTGGGGAGAGAGAGGTGAGTGGAAGTTTACTTACTGTGACTGCCTAATAATCTATAGCGCTTTCTGGAAAGAGAACTGGTGGTCCCTGGCTGGTGATCTTCAAGGTGTGATTCAAAGGCAGAGCACTGGGCAAGAACTCCCTCCCTGCTCTTTGATTACACCCTAGGGTTAGTACTTCCTCACCCAGCCCACTGTCTCTAGCTCACTGCAAAGTGATGTGGTCAGTTCTGAAAAATTGGGTTTGTAATTCCCAAGATCTTCATGGGCAAATCTCTTGAGTTCTTTTCTTCTTTTCAATGCCCCCAGGACTTCTGACCGTTACTCTCTCCTTTGTTAGAGGCTGTGCTCAACACATCAGCAAAGGTGTCAGGCCCAGAGATCTATTTAGGATGGCAAATGGGCACCCGGTTGGCTAGTGACATTGTCAATGACACAGCACCTGGCCCATGGCCTACACTAGAAGGCTTAAAGATTTTCAAATTTAATGACACTCCTGTCCCAGCACAGGGACGATAAGCTCTTGAGGTGAGGTTTTCCTGACCCAGGCCCTTGCTTCAAATCACTTCACAGTTGCTTGGTTGCTTTATGAACAGTCACCTTAGCAAATGACACCTTCTTAAGGCATCTCCTGAGAGTCTGTGGACTCCTGAGCACACACTGTCTGCCCACCAGGTGAGGGACTCTCTTTCTTAGACTTGTAGGTGTTGGACAAGATCCCTAAGGGCTGGGGTTATTTCCCTCATTAGACCAGAGTTCTGTTTGTCTTAGTTTTCAGACTAGAAGCTTCCTGCAGATGGAGCTGTGTAAGGAGAGCAGGGATTGGGTCTCACCTCCCTCCTATAACCCTCTGGGGAACCATTTCCTTGGCTCCTCTGCCCCTTCACAATTCCCTCTGCATCCATAGACTTTCTATCTCAAGTCCTTAGGAAAAATGGTGAGGATGGAAGTTCCGATTCCCAGATTACTCAGAGAGCGAAGGGCAGAACATACAGGCCACGTATCTGAGGGTGTATCCAATCAGGATCCCATTGGGGTGCTCCGGATGGTCCCACTCCAGGTTGATTGTCTCCAGGTTGGGCTGCCGGACTCGGAAACGCCTGGGGGCACTGGGTACTTGGGGAAGGAGGAGAGAGTAGGGGAGATGAGGGGGGAAGGGACAGGCAGGATGAGGGGAACACAGAAAACAAAGCACAGGCATGAAGGCATTGACCTTGGGCAACCCCCTTGCTGGACAGCTGCTGAACCACATCCCAGCAGAGCCTACTGCCTGTCCAGGATGTAATTTCTCTCAGGTGTGAGGCCACCTCCGACTCTGTTGTTGAAATGGGGAAGAAGTAAATCAAGTTTTCCATTTGTAACTACACTGAACTTGGCACACATTAGCCTCAGATCCTGCAAAGGTACCTCCAAACTGGGCAGAGTCATTCCTAGTGCCATTCCCAGGCAGGGAAGCAATCAGAGCCATTCTGCAGTGAGGCTGCAGTTCCTAATTCTTAGCCAAGGGCTTTCACCAGTGGGTCCAGCAGTAGGACCAGGCTTCTGAGCTGAGAACACTGGGTTCAAGAGTAAGGAGAAGGAAGCCCAGGATGGAGTACCTGGAAAGGCAGGAGGGGCTGATGATGAAAACCAAATGGAGGGAAAGACAGGAATAAAGAAAACAAGAGGGAAGAACAAAGGAGAGGAGAAAGGAGGAAGAGAAGAAAACAGGGAAATAACAGTTGAGAGAGGAAGGAGAAACAAGAAGGCAAAGCCAATGCAAAGAGGGTAAAAGAAGTGAGAACAGAGAATGAACTGGGGACTTCAAGGTGCCTGGACGCCAGGATTGAGTCAAGCCATAAGCCCGCAGAAAGGAGGGGTGACACCTCTGCAGCCTTCACACACAACAGCCAGTTCTCTGCACCACTGCTCTGCATGCTGTAGGGAGACTTGTGAAGGTCGTGGGTAAACAAGTCTTCCAGATAGTTGGTTGCGTGCGCTGCCTTCTGCCTCACAGGTGCTGGGGTGGCCGGCCCCCACAATGCCTTGAGTGGCCAGCCTGCATATTCCATCTGATATCACACCAGCAGACTGCACAGGCCTTCTCTTGAGCTACAACCTCCCATCAGGGCAGGGCCCCTTGGTGATGGAGCACTCCATGTGGATAGTGGAGCCATTCAGCCTGCAGTCTGTCCACTCATTGAGGCCACGCAGAGGTCACCTTGTGCCATCCATGCTGAGCCACTGCTGGCGCTGTTCCAGGCCCAGCAGTATGTGCTACCTCGTCCTGCCCACCCTGCATAGCTGCGGGTCAGACCTACCTCCTTCTGGGGTGGTGAACTCCTTGGTTTCGCTGCGAGGCCCATCACCTCTCCCATTCACCACAACCATCTCAAGTTTGTAGTTACTGTAGGGGAAGAGGCGGGACACCACGCCCCGGGGACGGTCACCAGGGAAGCTGGCTTGCTGTCTCTTCTGAGATACCCACAGGTTCTTCAGCAAGCTGCTCTCCCTCCAGTAGTAGGCCTTCACTGCGAGGCCCATCACCTCTCCCATTCACCACACCATCTCAAGTTTGTTAGTTACTGTAGGGGAAGAGGCGGGACACCACGCCCCGGGGACGGTCACCAGGGAAGCTGGCTTGCTGTCTCTTCTGAGATACCCACAGGTTCTTCAGCAAGCTGCTCTCCCTCCAGTAGTAGGCCTTCAGAACAGAGGCAAGGCTGGTGAGGGCCGGGTGGCAGGGCCGGGTTAGTGGTTAGTACTGGCAGTAGTGACAGGTCTTCCCTTTGCTTGCTACAGGTTCCAAGTCTCCAACGACCTCATCAGTCTCACACAGGGTGGGGGCAGGAGGGAAGAGCAGCCTTATGGCTCCCATTCATCTGCCACTGGCGAGTACAAATTTGTTGAACAAGAAATTGGGTTGTGGGTCCATGCGTTTTCTGAGCCATGCCACTTCTTTCGGGAAGGGGTGAATTGGCTATCCTATCATGAGACTTATTTCCAAGCTGGGCAACATGTTGCTCAGGGAGTTTAGAACCACAAATAGGAGCCAAGGGCTCAGGCAGGGAAAGCTGCACCCTGTGCTCAAACACCGAATCACCTGGAGGTGGATTAGTATGGTTTAGGTTGGAGGCAGACAGGTGTTGACAAGCAGCAGGTTACTCCAGCGGTCCGAGTGAGCAAAGGGTGATTTCGTCCTCTGAAGTCAAACAGTTTCTTTTCATACTCCTGAAGATGTTTAGAGATGAACACGCGCATGGGCTAGGGCTGCATGGTGGCAGAGCTTGGACAGGACAGGATGGCTTTAGAGGGTGGCAGTGTCACAGGGTGCAGAGGAATTCAGATTAGTAGTGGGTAAGAAGCCACAGGTCAGCCTGTGACAGCAGTGTCACTGAGGCTGCCCACAGCAAAGTAAAGAGAAAGTCCAGACTGAGAAGATGCTTTGGCTGGAAAAATCTCCAGGTGAGTAGGTTACGGGTGTAAGTTAACTGTTGGGGAGGAGCGTGTTCAAGTGCACACATCATCTTGCCTTTCTTCCCCTGCCTGCTAAATTCATTTTCTAAGAAGAGGCTGATCCTTTCTGTCAGTCCCCAACTGTCCGTTAGCCAATTCTTTTTTTTTTTTTCTGAGAAAGAATCTCATTCGATAGCCCAGGCTGGTCTCAAACTTAATATGTAGCCCAGGCTGGCCTTGAACTTGTGATCCTCCTGCTTCAGTGCTGGGATTACAGGCGTGTACCACTGGCCTGGCTTATCAGCCCACTTTTGGTGACCTTCAAGGTCACAGAACCAGCAGCAACCAATAGTGACAGCCTCCCTCCAGTCCCAGCCAACTTTGCAATGGAGCTGCCTCCTGAGGGAGACCTTGTACACGCTGGGCTTGCTTTCTCTCCTCCCCTTCTCACCTCAACTTTTGAAGGACAGATGCTGGGGCAGAACTGCTCCCAGCAGAGAGCACCAGAAGTCAGGGACCTTGATAATCTCTGTGCTGGGTAATAGAGTTAGCTGGGACAACAGGGAGGGCACTTGCACCCTTTCAGTGGCTTTGCCTATTAGTGTGGCTTTCCAAAACCAGGCTGGGGGCAGGTGGGGTGGGCAGACAACCCGCAGAGGACAATGGCGGAGGGGTGTAGCTCAGTGGTGCCTCAACACTGCACATGAAGATACATGTGTGTTCACTCACACAGGTATGACAAATGCAAGTGCTAAGCAATGCTAACTCAACCCACGACCCTTCACAGGGTTTTCTGCTGAGCAGAATCTCTGTAGCACATGTGTAAGACACATCTGGGGGTGGGTATATGTATACAGTCATGAGTGCATGATGCTTTGTCAATGAAGGAGCACGTAGATGACGGGATTCTGTCAGGTTATGAGGAGGTGAAAATGTCCTATGACCTAGTGACATAACAGCCATGATGGTGTATGTATCACATCCCTCATGTGCTTGTGGTGATCTGTGTAAACAAACCTGCTGTGTTGCCAAGACAATTATGTACAGTGTGCAATACTTGACAATAAAAGACAAGTGTTACTTTATGTATTTACTGTTCTGTACTTTTATCATTATTTCATACTTTTTATCCTTCTACTTATAAAAACGTTTAAATTTATCATAAAATAGTATGCCACCTTATACTGCTGAATAGCCTCACACATTCTGGGTTTTCTGCATCTCTCTCTCTCTTTTTTATTTTTTTGGTGGTACTGGGATTTGAACTCAGGCCCTTGCACTCGCTAGGCAGGTACTCTACCACTTAAGCCATACCCTCAGCCCTTTTTGCTTTGGTTTATTTTTTAGGTAAGGTCCTGCTTTTTGCCCAGGGCCAGACTTGGACCACGATCCTCCTATCTCTGTCTCTTGATTGCATCAAGAGGCCATACCAAGGGATGCCTGCTGCGATCTAGGTCTGTGTAAGAATCTAGGCCTGTGTAAGGATGCTATGATGCTAGAACAATGATAAAGTTGCCTAATGACTCATTTCTCAGAACATAACTATATTGTTAAATGACACATGACTGTATATATATATATATATATATATATATATGTATGTATATATGTATATGTTTTTTTTTTCAGGATATATTTTTGAGCATCTAATTCTAGACATCATCTTGAATCAACTTTGGATCCAACAAATATCCCTAGGACCCCTTCCGTATCTCCTATGCCCACATCTGCTGTTCCCTTGCCCTGGTTAGCAAGCTGGGTGTTAGGTGGGGTGGGGAGCTGGCTTCCTCACTCGGTATTCTCTGAGCTGGCCTTGGACCGTGTCGGAGTAGACGCGGTTCCACTGAAGGCTGATGGCTGTGCTGTTCATGACTCGGACTTTAACTTCTGTGGGTGCAGCCCTGGGATCTGTAATGTGTTGGAATAGAGAGCTGGTTATATAGGTAAGGGTGGCCCTTGGAATTGACTGATTCTATTGGCCTGTACCTCTACTTCACTGGATACTGGGTACTCCAGGAGGGCAGAGGGCCATGTCTCCTCCATCAGACAGTACTTGGAGGAGGTGGGGAAGACTTAGGAAAAAAGGTGGAAGTACAGGTGGGAGAGACTCTGCTGACCCACACTTATTTAGGGGACAATTATTTGTGACACTCAGGTTCTGGGCTCATCTGTCCCTCTGTTCCATTCTCCACCTTTCCACCTGATCTGTGACCTGGGAAGCTGCTTTCCTCACACCTTATCAGCTGGGCTCCCTTGTTCCCGGCTTCCAGATGGGTTTGGCCAACAGTGTGAGGTCCCAGGAACAGAGAAGAGGAGGGTGGATATTGTTTCCTCTTGCTTCATCTTTGCTGGGCTGCAGGGGAACGGCGTGCACTCTTCCACCCAAGACCATGGCTTCTGAGGGTGGTCCTCATGGGTTTGGTGACTCATGCATCTCCTGCCCCACCGAGGCTCAGAGTAGCACCTGCTGTTGCTAGCCCTCGAGGAGAGGTTCATATACCTTGCTGTTTGCCCTCTAATGCTGTCCACACATTATTGATAGTCACTTCTGAGTGTACATCTGTTTTCTGCCAGCAGGAAACTTTACCCACATTTTAGATGGCTTCCAGGTTAGATGACTTCCATCTAACCTGGTTCAGGAAGGGAATCTAACTCTGCAGCCCCTGGGATGGGAGGTCCACTTCGTTCCTCATGATGATTCTTGCCCCTCTGTTCTCCACTCTACTACAGAAGCAAAGCTGCCCTGTGCCCTTTAATCCATCAGAGCACAGGGTAGATAGATCCAAGGGAAACTCAGGGGCAGTCCAGGAAACCCATGGCTAGAGGCTGTCCTGTCTACAGTTATCCACTGGGTAGTCCCCACTGGATTCTTATGTCTAGGGTCTGCCATCAAGAAAGTATGAAGTGTGATGGAAAAGAGGGACTGCTCCTGACCCCTCTGCTCATCTCTAGTGGGCCCCACTCATGACTCCTTCCAGGGCCCAGCCCTCACTTCTCATCTCACCATTATGGGATCAAAATGGGCTTCAGGCCCAAGATTGCTGTCTGAGTTCACCCCTCCCCAAGAGTCTCCCTTCTCCCTTCCTCTGTTCACCCCACCAACACTATCATCTCTTCTTGGATCAGACACTGACACAACAGGGCATGGTCACCCTGAGCCAGAAGGGTCCTCTGTGCTGCTCAGGAGCCTGTGGAACTGAGAGGTGTGCTGGGAATACAGAGGCCACCCTCTTTGGGAAGCCAGGTCCATGTACCTGGACTCTTGATTTACTCAAGTGCCAGCATCCAAAGAACTTTTTTTCTGCTCAATTCCAAGGGCTGGGAGCAACACTGGGACTGCTGTTCTGGAACATTCTGGTCTGGTGTTCTGTCAGGGCTTCCCCTGCCTGTGGGAGGTGTCTGGAGTATGGAGTGTCTAACTATAGTTCTTTGGGATGGTGGTCCTGAAGTCTTTCTTGGTGCTAGCATAGTTTAGCAGGAAAACAGCTTGGCTGCAGATCCAGTGACCTGCTGGCTTCTATTTTCAAGCCTAACACTTGCTTCTATATAATCCTAGAAAATGCCTTTCTCTTTAGGGCCTCAGTTTTCACATCTGTAACATGGGCGGCAGTCCTAACTAGTGTTTAGATAATATTTTCCACTCCAGGTGCTGCATGGTCTAGGTCACCATAGGGCACCTTTCCTTCCTGGGAATGGGTTGCCCTCCCACGGCCACCCTGTGAGAGTGGCCTGGCATGGCCTGGTGGTAGGGGTCCTGCTGGGGAGGGAGGGTGGGTGGGTACTCACAATCTTCTCCAGAGTACCCGATGACAGTGTCAGGCTCAGGGCCCTTTCCAAAGTCATTTTCTGCCTGGACTCGAATCTCATAGGGCACATAGACTGGGGTCTGCCCTACCACATAGCGGGAGCCCCACACTGTGACGTTGTTCCATGTGTCTCGAGTCTCTCTCCGCCGCCACTTGACGATGTAGCGCAGGTTGGGGCCAAAGGCAGAGGTGGCGTTCATGGGCTGGGCAGGGTGAGACAGAGAGATAGACAGGCAGGGTGAGGCAGAGGGACAGACAAGCAGGGTAGAGAGAGTGCAGGCGAGGAACCACCTACAGCTTGCCCTCTCCTGTGTCAAGTACCCTGCCTGGGCCTGCCCAACACTGGCTAGCCTCCTTGCAAGGGAAGGGAGAGCATGTCCCCTCTGCCAAGTCTCCCAAGAGCCCTGAGTCCTAGTTTTTGTGAAGCATGTAGCTTTTCTATGACAAAAACTTTACTCAAGAGCGGGTCACTTTGATGCCCAGATCTGCCCACACCTCGGGTGCAAAGGGAGCAAAAGGTTTACTTTAAAGAGAATCCCTTCCCAGTACAGGAGCGGCCAGCAGCAAAAGAAGGACAACACCAGCTTCTCCAGAGTCGGACAGGGAAGGATTTGCATCTAACCACAGTCTGTCTTCTGTTGATGAACTCAAACTGCTGAACTGACTTCCGTCATACCAATCCCATGTGTGTCTGTCTTGTCCTTACAACAGATCAGGGTTCTTTAAAAGTGGTGGGGTCTGTTTCTTTATTCTCTAAGGACCTGGCCCAGCAATCAGGCCTCTTGAATGTGCCATGCAGAGCTGTCTACCAGGTATCCTGAACCTTGTTCAACCCAGAGCTATTGCTCTGTTTGGCCTGGCTGCTGGAGACCAGACTCTCAGAGTGACAAAGATGACTGCGATACCAAGCATTGTGTCTCCCTGTGCCCATTACTGTGGTAGCAGCTCAGAAATGCTGACATTTTAGTGGCTGCATTTGTGTCTCTTAGATTTGGAAGTATATTGGGAAGAAAAGTCATTTTGTGATCAATTTTGCCTAGGAAACTATAGTCAGTGAGCCAAGGTGAAGATGGGATTTGAAAATCTTGGCCTGGAGGGAGCCTTTAAGTTACCTACCCTGCTCCATGACTAAAGGAAGGGCCTACATTGGACACGGCTCAGACACTCCTGACAATTCTACTGAGGTCCCCAAGATACATCAGATCTTGGAGGTGGTGTTCCGTCCATATCCTTCCTAAAGCCTAACCTTAGTCTCTCCTTTGAAAGAAGTCCACTTTATTTTGGTGGCATTTATGGTTTTTTGCTGGACTGGCAGTCTATGGACTTTGGTCACCTTTGCTCCTATCTCTGTTCTGAAATCCTGCTCCTTGACACTTTTCCTGTTTGGTTTCTGAGTGGTCAGTTCAGAGATGAGCTGATTCTCCGGATAAGAGTGGCCATCCAAACCAGCTAGACAGTCGTCACCACACTATGGACACAGGGCCTTTGGGGTATAAAGAGCTCCTTGGTGCAGGCCCATCAAGGGCTAGGGTCGGGAAGGCTCCTACCGTCCACGTGATCTCCATGTTGTTCTTTCTGGTCCCCTCTCCCTTCACATCACCAGGATTGGACTCAGGGGCTGGAATCCAAACACACGAAGCTGAAGTCCAATTCGTATCTGGCCTGGGCACGGCAAGCAACCTGCCTCCTTTCTGCCTGACTTGTCATCTCTATGTACTGGCTTCTCTCAGCAACTCTTTTTCTCATGTGCATGAGAAATCTTAGCTTCCTACCTAAGATTTAAATTTCCATAGCAGAGCTAATTTCTTGTAAGTTTTAATCCCTTGTCAGACAGCATTTGTTGTAAGGTTTCTCACACTGTGGGTGGCCAATAAGCCAACTCAACGTGGATTGTCCCCTTCCTGGATCACCTCCTAAATATGTTTCACACAACACAGGTTATCCCTGGCACTTCATGTTCCTTCTGGGGGAGCATCTCCACCCTCTGTGAGCTGGTGTGATTTCAGAAATCTAAACATTACCTAAGTGTGTTAGGAGAAGAATCTGATATAGCACTGGCTTGTGTATTTCTGCTGCACATCTTTGCCATAGAGCTCCCCTTTTAAGTAGCTAATTAATAATCATTAATAATATTGATAGCCAGGGGCCAGGGGCTTATAACACCTGTAATCCTAGCTGCTCAGGAGGCAGAGATCAGGAGGATCACAGTTCGAGGACAACTCAGGCAAATAGTTTGAGAGACCATCTCAAAAATATTCAACACAAAAAGGTCTGGCAGAGTGACTCAAGTGGGAGAGCACCTGCCTAGCAAGTGTGAGGCCCTGAGTTCAAACCCCAGTGCTGCCTAATAATAATAGTAATACTGATAATAAAAAATGCAGTTCATATTTGTTGTGTGCTTACTCCATGCCAGGTATTACGACAAGCACCTGACACACATTTTCTTTCTTTTTTTAAAATTTTTATTGCTTTTATTCATATGCGCATACAATGTTTGGGTCATTTCTCCCCTCTTCCCCGCCCCCCCCCCGCCTCCCTCCTCCCCCCCACCCTCTCCCTTACCCCCCACCCCCTACCCTCTTGCTCTAGCTTTGTTGAAGAGAGAGTATAAGCAATAATAGGAAGGACCAAGGGTTTTTGCTAATTGAGGTAAGGATAGCTATACAGGGAGTTGACACACATTAATTTCCTGTGCATGTGTGTTACCTTCTAGGTTAATTCTTTTTGATCTAACCTTTTCTCTAGTTCCTGGTTCCCTTTTCCTATTGGCCTCAGTTGCTTTTAAGGTATCTGCTTTAGTTTCTCTGCGTTGAGGGCAACAAATGCTACCTAGTTTTTTGGGTGTCTTACCTATCCTCACCCCTCCCTTGTGTGCTCTCACTTTATCATGTGATCAAAGTCTAATCACCTTGTTGTGTTTGCCCTTGATCTAATCTGACACACATTTTCAAACGGAGGCCTCACAACAGTCCTGAGATGTACATATTACTATTATTCTGTTTCACAGATGACATAAGCCTTCGAGAAGTTAGGTTCAAGGCAACGGGGAACCTGAAATTGAACTCAGGACACCTGGCTCCAGGCATTCTTGGGGTGCTCAAGTACTCACGTGCTCCACTGGTTCGATAGCGCTCAGACGGCAGACTGGGGTGGCTGCTCCCAACCTCGTTGACAGCAATGACCCGGAACTGGTAATTGACATATGGGGATAGCTGAAGGACTGCTGAGTTGACACTGCCTGGAAACTTGGAATGGTCATGCCAGACCCCTGGTTGGAACTGGTCCTCTTCAAACTGGACAACATAGTCTGAGTGGGCAAGGAGGACAGAGCTGTTTCAGAACCCAACCTGGCAACCTCCAGCTCTACAAGTACATCCTCCTTCACTTCTGTTCATCTTTATAATCTTCCCAGGTAGACAGTTAAACACAGAGCATTCTTCTGAACACATGGAAGGAATCCAAGGCCTCCATGCACATGCAGGTAGGGCAGAGGTGGGAACAGACATAAAGAAAAGCCCTGTATCTCAGGCTGTTATCAACCCTCTTTTCTGGCATGGGGCTCTAAGCTGACCTGTGATGGGGCTGTTGTTATCGTCCCCTGGGATCCAGGTCAGCCTCACACTCCTCTCAGCCAGGTCGGTGAGCTCCAGGTCTCGGGGTCGGTCTGGCCGTCCTGGCAGCAGATGGAGAAGACACCACAAAGGACTTCTGAGTTACAGCCAGTCCCTCCTCAAGGTGTTCCCAGTCCTGGACAGGTCCCTGAGGGGCTTAGGTATCTAATACCAGCAGGATCCAATCCCAGTCTGCCCTGGATGGCCAGTACAGGAACCACCCTCTTCCCTCTGGGGGCCAAGGAAGAACAAGAGGAAACCCCAAATTCTACCTTGCCCCAAATAATATCAAAGGATGTGCATCCAGGAAATAAAGAGGATCACATAGGGCACAGTGAGAACTGGGGTGAACCCATCCTGTTTCTGTGGACGTTCTTTAGAGCACAAGCATTTGGAAATGGCTTTGTTTTTCATCAGATCTATGCTCACATTTAGAGAAACTGATGAGGAAATGTGGGACTTTGTCTTGTTGTCTTGTGGTAATTACCTTCTGCTCTGTGTGCTAGGGCTCTGAGGGGACCAGAGTCCAGGAGGTCTGTGGGGCTGAGTAGGGCAGACAGGTCAGAAAAATGAGAACACAAAGAGAGAAAACCAGGCCAGGGAGGAGATGGAGACATGGTCTATGAGTTCTAGTGGTAGATGTAGGATGGAAGGACCTACAAGCTTCCACACAGGGTTGAGGGCTGCACCTTTTGGGGGCTCTGATCTCCCTGGGATTGTTTTAGTGGGAATAGTGCCATCTTGGCTTGGGGTGAAAGCCATCCAGTCACTGACTGGTGGGGGAAGGCAGGATTTTTTCCCTATCTTGGCTCCCTGGATCAGCTATATCCACATTTTGGCTGTTTGTTGGAAGGACCAGGAAGGTGAGTCATGCAAACTCACGTTAGTATGTGCATATGTGTGCAGACTGTAAATGAATATACTTGGAGGTGTGGGAAGGATGCAAAATTATGGGCCTTCAGATAATCTGAGGGGAGCAGACTTTTGTGACCAGACCTTAGACACTTCTGATGCTGAGCTGGAGGGCAGTTGGTCACCCCAAGGGACAGATTGAGTGGCTGGAGGTAAGGGAAGGGTGAGAATTGACAAAGACTTCCAGACTCAGTCTGTGGAAGGAATCTGGAGCAGGCCTGTGGTACTGGTCAGGGAAGCAGGTGGATGAGGGCTTTGTAAGTGATGGGGTGTGCAGATGCTACCCACAAGCCTGTACAACAAAGTACCTTCCTGAGGCACCCTCTTCCTCAAAACTCCACCCCTGGGTGCCCAGATTGGGCACTGGTCTGGGCCCATGATTAGTACCAATTACCTTTGGGCAGGGCAGCCAAACGGTTAGTTGGAGTGGCCTGATCAGCTGCAAAGGTAAGACGGGTTATCCAGGTTAGCAGGTTATCAGGGTTAAAGATATTCTGGAAGTATGGGAACAGGCAGGTGAGACTTGAACAGCTGCCCCTGGGCTGAGGTACTCCAGACACCACTGCACCCTCCCTTCCAGGGACAGCCCCCCACCCTCACAGAGGCCATCTTATATTTCTTTCCCAGCTGGGAACAGAGCCTCTGTGTTTCTCTCCCATCCAAATACTACTAATCTGCCTGGCACACCATGGCCAGCAGCCATGCCTTCTGTTGCAGGAGGGACAGGAGTACACCAGCGCTTACATAGTAGGGCTCACGGAGAGGACAGAGGTGGTGTGGGCAGTGGGGTCTGCTTCCCAGAAGGGAAAGACACCTTCCCTTCAGATTGGGATGGCTTAGTATTCACACTGTGCCAGTCTGAGCCTTTCCTGTGCTGTGCATCCTCCCCAGTTGGTCTCCATTAGGCCCATCCCACTAAGGCAGATTGGCATCCACCTTCTTCCCCTACTTGTGCTGCCTTTCCTCAGCCCGCACTGAGCCTAGACCCCAAAACAGGAAGGGTTAGCATTGCCTTGCTTAGTGTGTAATATACTGTGAAATGCCACCCAACCAGGAGTGGAGAGGAAGGGAGAGGAAGGCTGGCAGAGGTTGTTGGAGACCCAGACACAAAACTGGGTCTAGCTTTACTGGTAGGTTGTTTTAGTTGACTTAGTGTGTGGAGTTAGCTGGAAAGGAGGTCAAGAAGCCACACCCAGAAGCCCCCTCCACTTTCCCTCCATCCCTCTGCACCCTTAAGCTGGGATTTGGGGAATTCCACTCTCCTTGTCCTTGTTCTGAGAATGGCAGAGACCCAAGGGTGAGAAATCCCTATGCCTGACCCCTGCTGACTGTAGGTGTTTCCCTGGAAACTGCTGGGCGTCTACAGCTCTTCTGGCTGCTGGGAAGTGGGAAGAAGGGGATACCAGTGCTGATGTAGGTGGCAGCAGTTACCTAGCACAGTGAGGTGAGCCTTGGCCAGGTCTTGGTCCAATTCAGTGCTGGCGACACATGTGTAGCTGCCCTGGTCCCGTTCCGCCACACCAAAGATGGTCAGGGAGTCATCTTCCTTCTTCATCCTGCAAGGTGTTGTACGGGGGTTGGCAGGAGGGTGGGGTGGGGTGTTGGGCACTGCTACTGCTTTCTCCCCATGGGGAATGGTGAGAAGGAAGGATGGAAGGAAGGAAAGAAAGAAGGAAGGAAGGAAGGAAGGAAGAGGAAAGTGGTAAGGCTGGGCTGGGAGCCAAGGTTTCCTCTAGGGGATGGGAGTCACCATCTCCATGCTCTGAGAGAGGCAAGGTCTCTCTCCATGGTTGTCAGGAGCACTCAATGAAGGGGAAATGAAAGAAGGCAGAGCTCAAGTAGCCTTCAAACTCCACACTGTGCCAGTCTGAGCCTTTCCTGTGCTGTGCATCCTCCCCAGTTGGTCTCCATTAGGCCCATCCCACTAAGGCAGATTGGCATCCACCTTCTTCCCCGACTTGTGCTGTCTTTCCTCAGCCCACACTAGTTTTCTCTGTGCCCAGGCTTGAGGGCCTACCCTGGATTCTCTGAACTGTCTCTCCCAGAAGGATGAGGTGCTCCAGAGCAGTGCAGGATTCTAAAGCTGTCAGCACCAAAGAGAGTGCAGAATGCCTGTGCCCACCGACAGCACAGGTGTTTCAGCACTACAGAATGTTGGATGTGGCTGGAAATAATTGCTACCTCTGCCCAGCACAACCTGTACTCAGACAGAAGAGGAATAGTAGAGATAGCCCTGGGAAGGGAGGCTGGGACCAGCAGTTCTCAACCCTTGCTGTGTATAAGAAACACCATCAGCACCTGAATCCTACCCCTACTTCAGTGAGCTTGGGACTGGAGTGAGGGACAAGCAGGCAGGCAGAGTGAAAGCATTCAGCAGTTCTAAGGGCTGAGAACCACCAGGCTCTACAATGAGTGTGGTGGCTGGGGCCAACCCTGCTCTCTACTGGAGAACAGGAGCACTGCAAGCCTTGCTGAAAAGATGGAGGCTGGGATGCAGTAGAGGAGGAAGAGGCAGGAGGGGAAAAAAGAAAAGGAAAAGAAAAGAGGGAAAGAAGTGAAGAGAGGAGGGGTGGGGAAGAGAGGGAAAAAAGAGAGAAAAGAAGTGAAGGAGAGAGTAGCCAGGAGCTGATGGGGAGGTAAGGAGAAAGAGGGTGCACCCCTAGGGAGGAGGAATCCCCAAGGATCCCCAAGGAATCCCCAAGGAATCCCCAAGCTCCTCAGTAGCTTCTTGGTAACATGCATGACACCAAGAGCAAGGATAAAAAAATGACCCTAAAAGCAGCACCAGGAATCGAGAAGGGAGAACAGAGACCTGTTTCCGATGTAGAGTGGTTCGTCGTCCTTCAGCCAGGAGACGGTGAGCTTGAGTGAGGGGTCGTGCTTCACCCGACATTCCAGCTGCACTGTGGTGCCCCTCTTGGCTACCTGGTCCTCAGGCATCCGGTAGATCCTGGTGGGGTCTGTGGAGACATCCAGGGAGCTCACCGTTAACTGTCCACAACCCCCATGTGGGCACAAAGCGAGCGTGACCTGTCTGATATTGTGACTCTGAACCAGCCATGGAAGGCGGCAGGCATACTATGCAGTTGTAAGAATGGAGGGGAGTTCCCATGTGGGTAATCAAAAATAGTAATTTATTCCCCTAAGTTCTTTCCCTCTAATTTTGGAATATACGATGTGACTTCTGGAGTGGTCTAGGATCTGGGATGGATAGCAGGTTCCTTTCCTTATTCCCTTTGGACCAGGCTGAAAATAAACTGCCTTGGTGTTCCCAGCTCACAGGTCAGATAGAGCTCCCAGGGACATGAAGATGCATGTGCAGGAGTGGAGCGAGCTTTTTCTCTTGCTCCTGTTGTTACTGAACCTGACTAGGCTTAACTGGGCAGTGATGGGAGATGCAGAAAAGACACAGGACAGACAGACAGAAAGAAAGTTTGGGGCCAGGTGTGTTGGGTGCTTGGATGGAGCACCTTACTCCTTTGCAGTTCTTTAAAACCTTGCTTCTAAAGTCTTTCCTCAAAACCTTGTTTTTAAAGTCTTCTTTAAAACCTTGCTTCACTATTCTTTAAAACCTCTTTAATTAGACTTGCACTGTCCCATGTTCTCTCTTTGGCTTTGTTAAAGCTTTGGTGCTCAGACTTGCACTGTCCCATGTTCTCTGTAGCTTTTCTTTAGCTTAGCTTTTCTGAAGCCTATGTACAAAGTTCTCAGTGCAGACTTTCACTGTCCCATGTTCTCTCTTTAGCTTTCTTAAAATCTCGGCCCTCAGGCTTGCTAGCAATTCCCCTTTAGCAATTCTTCAGCAATTCTTTCCCTTCAGCAGTTCATTTTCCCGCTTCAGCAATCTCCTTCCAGCAATTTCCCTTCATCCAAAAAGCCTTCCCCAGCAAAAAGCCAAAAGCCAAAAAACCCTTGCGTCCCCCTTCAGCGAGTCTTTTATACCCAGTGGTAAACAAGGAGGTGGAGCAACGTTTCTAGGGGAGGCGTGTGACATTGTAATAAGAGAAACCTTCCTTCCTGCTTCTCTGAACATAAACAACTTAGGAAAAGCAGCTGTTCTGCATTTTCCTCTTCTAGGGGGCTATGCCAATCTCAGCCTACAGAAACATCTTAGGAAAAGCAGTTGAGCTGTATCTTGCCTGGCTCATGTCCAGTTTTCATAGGCTTCTCATAGCCTGCTCTCCACAAAGGAGGCCACCCAGGATCAAACATTAGTTGGGAACATTTCCAAAGGGAATATCATCTATGGATAACTGTGAGCAGAGGTTCCTGGCCCCACCTGAACTCATACCTGTGAACCCTCTCCTTTACCTTTGACCTCTAGGCGGACTTGATTTTCAGCTTTGCCCAAGATGTTGGTGGCGACACAGGTGTAGATGCCTTGGTCCTCTTTGCGAATCATCTTTATTTCCAGACTGCCATTCTCATAGACGTGGTAGTTGCCACCATCCAGGTTGCTTCCTTGCCCATTCTTAAACCTCACAACAGAGCAGCAGAACACAGCATACTGAGAAAGGACCAGCCCAAGGGAACAGGGCAGCAACGAAACTAGAGACAGTGGGGTAGTGGAAGGAGTCCCATGGAGCCTCATGCTAGGCCTTGCAGGCTCTGCCTCCTACCACAAGGTGGCCCTGACAAAGCCCAGACACTTCCTGGGTCTTGGTTTCTTTTTCTGTAAAATGAGGGGGCTCACCCATATGATCAGATTTGAGCCTTTACGGTTCTCAGGTACTTCTGGATAACTATTATGGGCCAGATGGAAACTGAGGCAGATGACACCTTCTGGGGAAGACCTGGTCTCCTGGGACTTACCATCGGAGTGTGGGTATAGGAGACCCAAAAAATGGGCAGTCCAGTCGTGTCCTGTTGTAAAGGATCACCCTAATCAGCTGGTTCCGGGGTGACAGCATCCGAGGTGGCACATCTGAAATTCCCAGAGAACCGACCTTGGATCTGGAGTCCAACTCTTCTACCTCTTTCTCCTTGATCTTATCTCCACATGCTTTTTTCTGACAGTTGCCTTTCAGGTATCCAGCACCTTCCCCATTCACCTGCCTTCCTTCTAGAAGCCTCTAAGTATCAGTTGAAGAGGGAGTAAGTTTATTCATCTGCCTACCCTACACTTGCTCTATATCCAATCCACCTTTTGCAAGGCTTTTCTCAAATTACCAAGTAGGTTCTGGAGCTGTCCCTCCACATCCCCGAAGCATCTTGCAACTACCGGTCATGCCCACCTTGTCCCCACTCAAGGAGTGACACAAACATATTCAGAACCATTTCCCAATGGACACATCCAGAAGAGGAAACCTGCTCTCCCTAATCAGGGGAGGAGGGTACCAAACTGCGCTCATCCATCTCTGTGGAGTTCAGGTCCTCAATCCTTCCCACAAACCTCATCCTCAGTCTCCACATTTTGCTTCCCCATCCTGCCACCCTCTTACCCTGCCCAGCCTGGCTATGCTCCAGAGGAGAGAGAGTACCCTATGACACAATCACACCCCAGAGAGACTCTACTACAGGTGAGTGGAGGGGAGACAGCGGTGAAGGTGTGCTCACCCAGCACACTGACAAAGGCGTTGGCCAGCAGGTAGCCATGCTCGTTGGAGGTGTTGCACTGGTACACAGCCCTGCTGCTGATCTGGGTGTCCCGGAAGATGATGGTGTCACCGGCCACCTCACGGTTTGGGTTGGGTGGTGCTGCTACAGGTAAGAAAGAAATGTTCCTCATGAGAAATGGAGTTGTGAAGAAAGATGGGCTCTTGGCCAAGCCTCTCAAAAATGACTGGGTGCTATGGAAGAGGCAGCACTGGGCAGGTACCAGAAGACCTGGCTTCCTGGCTCAGCAGTGCTGGACCATGGGACCTTGACCCTACTGGAGTTTGCTTCTCAATCCATCAGTGGGATTATGAATTCCTGCTCAACCCAAGTAACAGGCAGGCAGCTGAGGTTGAGACTGTGGCTCTAGAAACAGAAAAATAAGCTTTGGAAACAGAAATCTAAGCCCATCACCTCCCAGCATTGTTCAAATCCTTTATGCTTGTTTTCTGGTCTGTAGGATGATGGCAACATATCACCTTGTGGAGATTTTGTGAAGACAACCTTATATCGTCACGTGTACCGATACATGTATAAAGTGCTTATCAGAAGGTCCAGCAATACTGATTGTTATCATTTTAATCCAATGTACATACACTTAAATATGTTTTGAAATGGATAAAGCAATATACAGGTGGTCAGAGCAGACTCTTACAAAGCTACACCCATAAGCCAATGCTGGCTGCATTGAGAAAGTCCTTCTGCTTGCTAAAGTGCACAGATATCCCAAAATGAATCCTACACAGAGAGAGGCCATTCCTGCCCACAGCTCTGCAGGTACTGTGGGCTTGGGGAATAGAGAGCAGAGTGTGGAGAGTAGCGGGGGAACCTGGGGCAGTCAGTGAGTGCATCTTTCTGGCTTCATTTCCTTCATCTATAAAATGGAGAAGTATCACTCCCATCTTTCCCCTACTCTAAGGAAGAATAAGGTTATGAGAATGGTAAGGAGAATGTAAAAATAAAAATTTTCTAGAGATGTAAAGAATGGCCACTTTTCTCATCTTTACCCACTGCCAATTTCTGGACCAGGATGCAGATGCCTTGGCCAGCACAGGCCATGAGCTCACTCAGACTCACTCAGACTTGTGGGGAAAGAGGGAGGAGGCAGCAGGAGTCTGGACCCATGGGCGCCAGTCCACAGATAGTGAGGCTGAGTCCAGACCCAGTCAGAACCTGAGCAGAAGGTCAATGAAGATGCAGTCAGCATCCTTATCATTACCTGGGACCCACTCAGCAAAAAGGCATGAAGGAAGGCAATGCTAGCATGTGAATGCCTCCTTGCCTGGCAATTATCATGAGGCCAGCTTTCCTGTCAGTCCCTTCCTTTAAATGTCCCTGGAGAGGGTGGCAGGTAACCTTCCCAAGGTCAAAGCTCTTCAGCCAGCCCTGGGGTGCATTGCAATTCAGTGTCATTGCTGTCTTCCTCCCAAAGACCCAGCCAGCAGGCAGGGTCCACATCTCTGCTTGTGGCAGTGTAGTAAGATTCCCTGAGATAACCGATGGCACAGGTGTGGCATGGCAACTCACGGCTTCCCCACTTCACAGCCTTGTGATCTACAATGCAGAACTAATTGGAGCCTGGTTTCCTCATTTCTATGTTTGAGATGAAGGAACTGACAGGGGTACACCACCTGCAGCAGTGCCTAGCACACAATGAATGTTTAAAGTGCATGTCATAGTCCCCTCTCCCTTTCTCCCCTGCTGTCCACCTGCTTCTATCAGCTGCTGCTTTGAGGTTGGCTTCTGCGTTCTCTCCATTCACTTTTCCTGCCCCGTTTGGTTGCTATCATTGTGTACATTCCCTCTGACTCCTTAGAGGAAGAAATGACTGGACATTTAAAAAATCAAAGCAACCAGACAGAAGAGACATGAAGACATGATGGAGACAACTTTTTTAGTTCCATTAGTGGGTCTGAACTCAGGGTTTTGAGTTTTGTAGGCAGATCCTCTACCACTGAGCCATGCTCACAGCCATTACCGACAGCAATCTTTCATACTGTCACACAGCCCTACCTTATTTGGCTCTTTTTTCCCCCTTTTTTTCCTTTTATTTTATTGTTTTTACATTTACTTACATGTGTATACATTATTTGTGCCACCTCCTTATTTGGCTCTTATCAGCGAGTGGGACTTGGTTAACCAGTGACAATGGACTGCTGACATCTCCTCTATCTTCTAAGCCCTGGTCACTCAGAACCCAAACCTTAGAGATCCTCAACTAGGCTCTGCAGCTGTTATGAGGCAGAAAGAAAAACCCAAGGAAGCAGAAACTGCCTAAAATGGGAACATAACCATAGGGCTTCCGCTTCCGGACTTCTGACTTCCCATTCTCTCTCATACAAAGACAGGCTTCCTGCCTCTTGAGATGTCTAGAGATGGGCCACTCTTTTCCTTTACTTCCAGTACACCCAGGCTGGTCCATAGCAGAGGGGATCTGGAGTGTCTGACAGGACACAGGAGAGAGTCAGATGGGACAGCAGCACGTTACTCACATTGCAAAGGTTCCCCATTCACCATCCACTGGACAGTGGGTTTGGGGTTCCCATTGGCTCGACACACCAGTCTCCCATCTTCGCCAGGTGCCAGGATCAAGTTCTTGGGCTCATCCAGCCAGTAGGGAGCAGCTGGAAGAAAAGTCAGGCACAGGGAGGGGAGTTAGATAGCAATGGGCAGGCAGGAGAAACCAGAGGCTCCTGCAGGAGCCACGGTTCGAGTTCCAGTCCCTCACCTTCTGTCCCAGGGCTCACCATCGTGGCGATGACTTAGTCCAGCCTGCATGTGGCCTGCTGGCCTGTGCTGGTACCAATCTGTCTACTTGAGCTCACAAAACAGCAGTTCTAAACATGGACTGCTCATTAGAATCCCTTAAAGGGTTTTTAGGATGCTGGGGCTTGTCTTAGACCTACTACATCAGATCCCTCAGGGGAGGCCTGGGTGGCTGGTGTGTTTATTTATCTATTTTTGCAGTACTGGGGACTGAACTCAGGGCCTCATGCTAGCTAGGCAAGCATTCTGCCCATATTCCGTTTTGCTTGTAGTTTGTTTTTCAGATAGGGTCTTGTGCTAACTTTGCCTGGGTTGGCCTCCAACTTTAATCCTCCTGTCTCCACCTCTCGAGTGGCTGGGATCACAGATGTGTACCACCACGTCCAGCTTGTTTTTTGGAGAGACAGTCTCACTAACTTTTGCCTAGGCTGGCCTTAGACTGCAATCCTCTTACCTCACTTCCTGAGTAGCTGAGACTACAGGCATGCAACCATGCCTGGCTGTGGCTGACACTTTTAGAGGTCACAGGTATTTATAATATGCACTCAAATGTTTCATCTACTGCACTGGGTTGACCCCTTTGCATTTCTTTTGTTGCACAATCGGACTACTTAGGAAAAGGCTGTAAATTCATTATGTTAGGCACTGAACTTTGGTTAAGGTGGTTCACACCTGGCCACTCTTTCAATTGTTTTGACAATTTTGTGAATGCATGGATGATTTTTCTGAGAACAGGATCTTTTGGATCAGATTCTCAAAGATCATGATACCCCTAAAAGTTAAGAAACCCCTTGTTTATGTGTGGTTCTGAAAGCAGGTCACTAGACAAATTGAAATGTGCTAAGAAAATTCGTGTATTCTGACTCAGACTTCACTGTCCCAATCAGCCACATAGCCCCCACTGAGAAGTGGTTCACGCAGCCCCCTCACCACCTCCTGGCTGGGACCCATGAAGACAGGTGCTCTATTGCCTGCAATAGCTCAGGTGGACTGTCTCTACTTTGGGGCAAGGGAAGTGACTTAAAAAATAATTTTGACCATGATGACTCCCCATCCTTAAAAAGAAGCATAGCACCATGCACACGTACAGACAGAGCAGGCTAAGACAAACATCACGGATGGGAACGCAAAACAAAATAAAGAAAAGGCTCTGGGAATGATTCCAATGGGTCATGGGAGAAGATTCACCTGCTGCAGGAGCCCCAGCACCAAAGAGAGTTGGCCGGTGGTCAAGGTGTAGCTCCTTCCCTCAAACACACAGTCTCACATCCAGGGTGTGACACCATTTGTGGCAAGTCACTACTGCCACTAACCAGTGCACTGAAAGTTCCCCACTCATTCTGCTACCCAACCACCCTCAGAGGGAAGAGTGTTCATGGTGTTTAGGTGTTTAGCGTTGGCAAAATAACCATAAGGAGAAATACACACAACGTACCCTTTACTCTCACCGAGATCGTGTGCCGGATGCTGCCCATCTTGTTGGAAGCCAGGCAGAAATACTCTCCAGAGTCTTCCTCTGAGACATTGGTAATACGCAGAGCCTTGTTAAAGTTCTCGAACTTGGCCTTGTCAGATGGGAGGTCCCCACCTTTCTTGTACCATGCGATGTCTGGTGTTGGGCTGGCAGAGGGACCAAGCAGGAAACAAAAGATTCATCACTGAATGCAGCCCTAGGCTTCCAGAGGGCCTGGGACACCAGGTGTCCTGAAAGTGTGTTTGGGCCCAGGGGTGTAGCTGTTCTTTAAGAGTGCATCTTTCCTATTCAGAGGAGGACGCTCTGAATAGAGAGAGCCCAAGGGACTGAGCCGAGATTTCATGTGATCCCAATGCACCTAAGTATGTCCAGCTATATCCTTTCTCATTTTCCCAAACAGAGATGGCCAGAATGGGATGGGGATGGCTATGGCTTGCAAAGTCTTGCTCAGTAGGGGATGTTGGTTGCCCTTCATTTTTTGTGTTACTAAGGTTTGAACTCAGGGCTTTGCACTTGCCTGGCATGCAAGGTACTACTTGAGCCAAATCCCCAGTCTTTTTTTTTTTTGTTGTCACCCTTGGCTTTTGAATTTAGGGCTTTGTGCCTGTCAGGCAGGAACTCTATGGGTCGAGCCACTCCTTCAGCCTTTTTTGCTGTGGTTATTTTGGGGATAGGGTCTCACTTTTTGCTCAGGTTGGCCTGGACTGCGATCCTACTATTTTAAGCTTCCCATCACGGCTAGAATGAAAGTGTGTGTGTGCCACTATGCCCAGCTTTCTTCCGTTGAGATGGGGTCTTGAGAACTTTTTGCCTGGGTTGGCCTGGAATCACGGTCCTCCCCATCTCAGCCTCCCAAGTAGCTAGGATTATAGGTAGGAGCCACTGGTGCCCAGCTCTTAATCCTTTTTGTTTTAGTTATTTTTTCAGATAGGGTTTCACATTTTTGCCTGGGGTTGGCCTCTGACCCAAATCCTCTTACTTATGCCTCCCTCATAGCTGAGATCACAGGCAGGCACCTGGCTTGTTTGTTGAGATGGGGGTCTCACTTTTTGCTCAGGCTGGCCTTCAACTACTATCCTCTTGATTTCCACCTTCTGAGTAGCTAGGATAACAGGAGTGAACCACGGTTCCCATTTGTTTCCCTTTTCGCTGTACTACTGGTGTGCCTCCAACTGTGGCAAGAATGTAGCATGGACAAACTTCCACCTCATTCTCTTGGAGGGTGACTAAAGTGGGGTACAGACTGTACGTACACCCCAGAGGCGATGCACTCCAGCAGAAGGTCCATGCCACGAAGCACCATCTGACTGCTTGAGGTGCCCTGGGGATACATGAAGCTGGGTGTTCTTTCTGCAACTCCTCGGGCTGAAACAGGACAGAACAAACTCCCATGAGCCTCCTCCCCTGAAGGCAGACCCACATACACCAAAACTGTTGAGCTAGAGAGAAATGTCATCACGCTCCCTGCTGGATCCTCCCAAGCCCAGCCCACCCCCAGTAACTGGGCACCATTAAGAGGTGTGTTAGGAAGCTTGGGCTCCTCTCCCCACCAGCACATGTGTGTGAGCAGCTTTAAGTTCTGAAAGGGTCTGCTGGGAGAAGCCCTGCTTCCCTGAGTCCAGGAACCCTCCCCTTCCATGGGACAGGGTGGGCTGTCTAGCAGTGTGAGGTCTGTTCCATGAGCATCTTGTGTTGCAGTCCCAGAGGCCACTCTGGTGGTTCTAAGGGTGGCCATCTCAGCAGCAGTCCTTCCTCCCCAGACAGGGACATGGAAGAAAAACACATGTATTGGGCCACGGGATAAGACAACTTTCTCTTTGGGACCCCGGAGACAAGTAGCTGGGATGAAGCCACAAAGCCCCAGATAAACAGCCAGACATGCAGAGAGAGTTATTAATGGCTTAGCAAAGACATGGGGAGAATTAATGAGCAGAGATGACAGGAAATCACTCTGGGGCCAAGACCATTCTGCCTCCTCACTAATGACTTTGGAAGGGGGCTGGGGAGGAGGGTGTTAATTGTATGTGAGATACTGTGATGTTGGGGGAGGGTGGCAGCCAAGATGGATGAGGTGATCTACAATTCAACTAGGCTAGAGCAGTCACAGGGCAGACGGAAATCTATGAAATCCACACAGGCTTTAAAGGCCAGGTGACTCACAGATTGACATTGTCAGGATGGCTATTTCCCATTGTCAGGATGGGTCATTGCCAGTCTGGGTGCACCCATGAAGAGTGGACCCTACCTTGCCTGAACCTAACCTCTCCCACAGAGTTCTTTGTACAGCTCTAAGGTTGTGGATAAGATGGATGAAGAAAAGCAAGGATTTTCCAAGCAGGAACCTCAATGCAAAAGGAGGTTTGCCTTGAGGAGGCGCGCCCTGCTCAAAGGTATAAGCTTGTAAAGAAGACTTTAACATACAAGTTGAGCCTGCCTGTGGGCTTAAGGGTCTTAGACTCAGCTGGGTAAGTGGGAGGTGGAGGGAAGGCAGAGCTGCCAGGAGCTGGGAGCCCTCAGAGATGGCTGGAGTGAGAACAGAGGCATCAATCTGGAGTTTAGCTGGTGCTGGCAGAGTGAAGATAGAGTGGTGGGGCTCCATCTCTGTGTAATTGGTGCTTCCCAAGAGAGCTTGCTGGATTAGCTGGTGCCTGGCGGGACCAGGGGCCCTTGTCCTAGGGTGTTCAGATTCCCTGCATCATTGGGGAGTGCATCCCATAGAACTTGCTTCTATTTTATCTTTTTGTCAAGGAAAGAAAGGCTGAAATATATTCTGAGGTATTAAGCTACTGGCACAAAACATGGCACATAGTGAGTGTTCAGTAAATGTTTGTGAGATGAATGAATTGAAGGCAGGGGGGGCGGGTGGAGAGCAAAGAGGAAGGCAACAATTACCCCATCTGCTATCTCTTTCTGTAGATGTCCTCACCTGTCCACCAGCACACACTTACACAATAGTGGCTAGCGAAGGATTAATGACTGCATTATGTGGTTAGTTGGTTACTGTCTACACCCATAGCCCTTGCAGCATCCTGCTCTCAGTACCTATGTTACGAACCTGACACCAAAGCTTCCTCCTACCCACAATCAGCAAGTCACCAGAACAGTCAAGAAAACACAAGGTTAAAGGCACTATGAGAACAAGGAGATTCCAGGGCAGGAGGCTCTCAGGTTGAGTTGGTGAATCTATGCAGAGCTGGAAAGAGGTCCCAGTTCAGTTGTTATCTCATTCTGCACAGGGACGAAATCTGCAGGAGCCAATTTGTGACCCTGTGAACACTTAATTCACACCATAGCATGCAGCACCACAAGCACACATGACCAGCAAAGCAGTGAGGATGGAGAGGAGGAAGATCAGCACAGAACCTGCTGTGGGTGCCATGACACACTGTAGCTGTGACCGTAAAAAGGCTATAGCAATACCGCATTTGTACATGTGGGCTGGCAACCACGGAATTATCTCAGGGAAGGAGAAGCTACTGGAAAACAAGTGAAGTCCAAAGAACAGGAAGGCACATCCTGTTCATCATGACTACCATTTGGTGAGCATTATAAAGGTGTGCTATTAGCTCTGTCTCACCAGCATGATAAACTTGGAGTGATATCTGCATTTCTAGCAGAGGAAACTGAGATTCTATAAAGTCAACAGACTTACCCACGGTCATAGCTCATTGTGTTTTGGATTGTGGACTAGTAGCTCTAAAACTCATGCTCTGTACCTATTCTAAATTTCCTCTCAATCTAAAAATGGAGACTCCACTTTCCCTACTTGTGACAGGCAGTTTTGGGAATATCTTTCTTATCCACACCTAAGAAACCCAAAGTCTGAGGGCAAAAAGAGTGAACGAGAAAGTCACTTTTGACTTAGTAAGTGAGTCTGGTGAGACTCTTCTACTACGTTTTTCAGTTAAGAAAACAGGGTCTTCTCATGGTTTCAGCTAAGATTCCATCTCTCCTTGGTGGCTACTGATAAGCTTAGACCCAAGGTGGGGAAAAGAAGCTGGGAAGAGAATGAAGAGGCTCCAAAGGCATCCTACCTGGATTTCTAGGGGCAGGAAAACATGCAGAAAAGTTGAGGTGATACACAGCATCACTAAGGAATGAGAAGGGTGGTGCTGGTGCCAAAGGGGAAAGTATGAAGGAAAGCTGTCAATCACAGCAAGAGGAATTCACATAAAAATTTAGGAATTTAGGGAGGATGATCCAGCTGGTAGCTCTGGAAGCCTTTTCTCCCAAGAGAGGGGGCATAATTTCCTTCCATGGAGGAGACCCAGGAATCAGTAATTATGAAGAAGAAGGTAATTTCTGTATGAAATGATGGAAGAGAAGTATCTCTCTGGATGTCAGAGAAGCAGACCCATTGGCTATGAAGGCAGGGATGCTTGGACAGCGCGTCTACCATGGTGATGTTCCTGCCACTTCCTGGTCCTCAGGGTGGGGTCTGATCTAATACATGACCAGCCTCAGAATCCAGATGCTAAAGTTCATGTCTGTGGACTCAGGAGAAGTTCGACATAGCCCACCTGACCTCTAGCCAAAGGACAGGCCTTCTGCTCCTGCAGAAGCTGTGACTCAGAGTGGACTCACGGGTCTCCAGTGCTACATGGTCAGCCAGACACCACTTCAACCACAATGGCTCCTGATTGTCTCTTGCTGGGGAAAGGTCAAGAGTACTGACAAGCTTAGCACCACCCTTCCACTAAGTAGTGCATGTTACTAGGATGACGGAACTCAAAGAATCAGAAGTATCTGAGGACATTTGCCAAAAACAGCTTTTAGAGGCAGCTGGAGCCTATATCCAGACTGTTCTGCTGCTTTCGATTCTCCGAACTGAGAGCCAGACACTCAGGGGACTGGATTCCTGGCATCCCATCCACCTCTCTGCCCCTAGAAATGGCTGACCAAACAAGTCAGAAGATGAGAAAAGGTCTTTGTCTAGTAACATTTGATACCTTGCACTGCCAGGAAATTTCTTCTAGAAGTCTAACTCAGTTCCTTTATGCTGTGCTTGCAGCTTTTTTCTTACCCAGTTCTCAGCACAGCTGAGGATCTGGACAGCTTTCATTTCCAGAGTTGGCCTTTATATTTTTCCCTGCATAATACTTTCTTCCTGTAAGTGTGCCTGCCTTTCTCCCCTTGGCTTCTCTTCAAGTTCTGTGTCTCTCTTAATTGCAGGATCAAATGAACCATGCACAGTAAAGGCAATGTGAACCCCTCTCCTGTAAAGCCAATAACAGGTTATACTTATTAAGCACTGATAATGTGTCCAAGTCCTTACTAGAAACCACACACACATTGTCCTCTTTGCCTTTCACAGTCGTCCAATGAGGATGACCCACTGGTGGATGTGGAAATTAAAGTTCCCAGGCATTGAATGACTTGTTCAGTGTCACTCAGTGGTATGTTCTGGAGTCTGGATTTGACTCAATACAGTCTACCTCCGATCGCACACACTGACCACTTGCTTTCTTGCTTGGATGGATTATAAGAGGCTTTCCCTGCCTTTTGGGGGAATCTGGTCCATATTCAGAGGATATTAACTCATCAAAACAATATAGAAATATGGGGTGGCCCCAATGCTACAGAGAGATGTGACATATTTCAAAGCCAAACAGATGCACTGGGCATTTGGCATCGATGGTATCTCTGACCAGCTCCCTTCACTCAGGGAGGAACTTCTTCCTTCCTTTTTTACTTTCTGTTCCTAGAACTGACATCCTGGCTGTTGTTTGTCCAGTGTGTATCTCGCTTTGACTACGTGTCTCTTTCCAGCAGCTCACATGTGGGCCAGCCCTGTCCTACCCTGGACTGAGGACAAGGAGTCAGCCTCTATGTGAGCTTGTGATATTTGTTGGTGTCAAAGCCCTGGAGGGTTCTCCTAACTCTCACTCATTTTCTTGTAATAACATTGACCACCGGTTATACACTGGTTTAAATGGCTGGAATCACTCAACCTTATTCTAGTGACACAACTCTGCATATACATTTCCCTGCATGGTTTACCTTTTAGAAAGGAAAGAGCTTGGGCCAGATGGTTTCTAAAAGACCTTCTGGCTCTGATATATTCTGGCTTTCAGAATACTTCCTGTAATAGATTACTTGGAATCTAATTTAGAAAAAGGCACATTCCACGCCAGTGTTCTGCGGCTCTTGACACAATAGTGGTTGGCCCATTATCTTGAAAACAAACAATCCCTAGAATCCAATAAAGATTCCCTGCTTTCTCGGGCAGTAAATCTCTTTGGCAGAGTCTCAGTGTGGTTCTCACTGCTTGGTGCCAAGTTGAGCCTTTGACTCTCTTCCCAGCTCTCGCTCATCCCATCCCCCACACCAATCATCATTTATATTAGCACATCACAAGGCAGACACTTCCTATCTGTTTGAGCTCCCAATGACCCCCTTGGGGACCTGCACCCTAGGCTTCTGAGGCACGACTGATGATGGGGTCCAGCTGTGTCACCGGAGCTAGCCAATGCTGATTCCTCTGATTGCTCAAGGAGAACAAGACTTTCCTGAGCCACCATAAGGGGTAACTCAGGTGTAGAAATAGCCAATTCCCCTATTAATCAGACCCAGCAGTCAGCTGCGGGATGAGACAGACATCTGTCTCACTGTAATTGTTTCACGACTTGCAAGGGCAGCTGTCGGCACTGCATTTGCATGCACTCCCACAGTACAGAAGAGAAGAGAAGAGGGCCCTGGCGGGTCCAACTGCAATTATACTCACCTGGAAAGAGAACTCCAAGCTGGACTCTTACTCCCATTTTCCAGGTGGATTTTGAAGACACCTGAGACCTAGATGTGCAGTGGTACTTCCAGGATCTAAGGCTAGGTTATGAAGCAGGCCACTTCATATCCAGACATTGAAGAGTTAACTAAACTAAAAGCTATCTGTGGTCTTTAAACTACCATCAGGAACCAGACTTCCTCCTTCTTCCTAACTGTAGACACTCACCTATTCTCAGAAACTCCATCCACCCACCACTGATTCCTAAGCCTCGGCTGAAACCTCCAAGTAGCTCTTTGAGGCCCTACCCTGGTTTGAGCCATCTCTGAAAATTCAGCAACTTAGCCTTGCATATTGGGGAAGATCATACCTCTATGTGAGCCACTTCAAATTCCCACACTGGCCACCTTCCTTTTGGCACACAGTGTCCTGAGGTGTCACCTGGGCACCCTGGATTGGCCAGCTGTCAGCCCTATCACCCAGCAGGAGTTAATAACATGGTATCAGTCAAGTTAGGCAAACTGGGTTAGGACAGGCAAGGTTACTCCCAAGGTTACCGCCACAACTCACCACTGTACATGTCAGGGTGGTTTCTTAAGGACGAGTCATTATAGGGATGGTCTGCAATAAACAAAAGAGGGTGAGCAAACAGGAGGCCACAGAGAAGTCATGGAGGCATACACTGGGAGAGAAAAAACAGAAGTGCAAAGCCACAAAACAACTGAGGTGAGCATCAGTGGTATTTTGCAAAGGAAAGACACAGCATGTTTGGAAAAGGAATATGCTTGAAGAGCAAGCAACACAAAACGGCCCAATCAGGGAACAAAAAGGTTAACTCCTGCAAAAGAAGGCAATACAAAAATAAGTCCCTTTGTCAAGTAAAGGAATTAGGCTTGACCTTCGCTCGGTCCTTCTATATTTCAAACAAATGAGGTAAGGATTAGTAGTTCCTATAGCAGACTCATGACCAACTTGTTCCTAGAGTTTCCAGTCCCCAGGGCTCCACATCAGGCCAGCTGAAGAAAAAAGGTGTTAGTGACCTCTGGGGAAGAGAGCAGTCCTGCCTGGGCAGGAGCTAAGCTGCAGGGGTGGGTGGGAGGGAAATGGAAGAAGACAGTCATTGGAAGACAGGAGGACGGAGGCACCCTTGGCAGTACCCAGAAACAAGTGCCCCTAACCTGACCAGGTGAGCACCAATGTGGTCCCCAGGATACCTTTGTTGGGAGAGCTTGGCCCAGGTTCCAGCTCTGGGATTAGAAGGACAGGAAGGTAAGCCTTAAGCTATGAGTGCCACCTGCTGACTGCAGAGCTCTCTAGACTTGTGTGGGGATGAAGACCGTCCTGAAGAAGCAAGCAAGATCAGTGACTGCGAGGTGATCAAAACCCTTGGGCATTTGACCCTCTGGGAAAAGACATTTTGGAACAGCACATGTAAACATGCCACTGTCCTTAAGTGGGTTTTCACTCTCCACCGTCCCCTTTCAGGGTTTAAGTTCCGACAGTACGCACAGGGGTGGAGGGTGGACAGCTGACTGGAAGCCAAACAGACAGCCCCTAGCAGCCCAGGACACAGTCCAACTGCCAGGTGCTGTGCCAGGACATTTGCATATTTGAAGACAGATCAAGTCCTGTTACAACTAGTTATAAAAAAAGAGGGTATGTGAGTTCTTTTCTGGGACTGGCATTGCATCGCACTCCCAATCCGCAACACCCGTGACAGAATTTTCATTATTCAGAGCTACCTCTTAGGACGGGGGTCATTGTGAAGGATTTGGCCTGGCTGGGAAGTTAGCTTGGGTATATTTGGAGCAAAAGGTGGGAACTGGAATGAAGGGATAGGTGGCAGAGGACTGAAAGAATGAAGGGGCAGAGGAATGAAGGTGCAGGTGGCACTGGGCAGGTGGGGCTGTGGCTGGACCTGGGAGGGAATGTTCCCTGCCTCTCCTGGGAGAGGACGTTGGCATACACAGATGAAAGGGATCTCCTTTCACGCTCCTCTGCTCCAGGTGAAATGGGTTCTTCCTCTTCGAGGGGAGTGACCCATGCTCACAGTCCACCTGCTTGTGGCTTTGAGCCGAGATTCAGGGGGACTGCGTCCTCTAAGAATGTCACGTAGGCATTAGAAAGAAGTATGGAGTGCACCCCAAAGTCTGTGTTGGGGAGAATCCTCCTCCATCATTGCGGTCACCTCTTATTGTAGCAGCAGGTACCACCCCCCAACCCCAGCCTGTCACAGTGCAGGCAGAGGGACAGGTTCATCTTTGTTAGCCTGACACCACTGGTTATCTTTGCATCCCCAAACATACTTTAAAAATGGTTTTAAATTGCCTGATATTTTGCAATAGATATGTCTCCCTGTGATGTAACTAGTAAAAAAATTAGTGCGATGAAACTGGTTTCTTCCCAAAATGACAAACTGTGGGCAGACTGTTCTGCCTCCCACCCCAGACCTGGTTCTGAAGGTACAATAGAAAGCCTGTGTCCTTTCCAGACAGAAAAGTCAAGAGAGCCCAACTGTGCTATTTTAAGCCACTTGTGCCCAATTCTAGGCTGGCTCAGATGCCCAGAACTTGATTTTAGCCAAAGATGCCCCTGGGAGAACTCCAGGGAGCCAGTGGACTCTGTTCCAGTCACCTAGAGGGTTTCTGTCACTTGGAGGAAAGAATTTCCAATGGAACGGAGGACCCAGAAAAATAAGCACAGACAAAACATTCCTTATATCCTCTGGTTGAGAAAAGGATGATTCTGGAAAGTTCCACTTCTAAATGTTTCTTAAAACCTAAGTGTTTAATTTTTCAGAACAGGTGCCCTCAGCCCTCTACCTCCTGGCCTCCCCAGCCTCTGCCCAGGGTAGCAGAAGGTCGCCTGATTCAAGCCCAGGGGCAGCAGGAAGCCTTCCAGCATCAGCCCAGGCAAGGAAAGAGGGTCCAGGAGGTGACTGGAAGGCTGTGCAGGGTCAGCCTCAAGCATTGTGCTCTCCACAGCCCTGTCCCTCCCACTGGCTTCTCCTCCTCCCAGCCCTATCCTGGTGACCAAGGACACTCTGAGGCCCTGGAAGACCACACCGTCCTCCCCTGCTCAGACAGCTGCCATGCAGTCACCAGGGTGCACTGAGAAAATGCTGTAGGGATCCCCAGGCCCAGATTAGGAATGAGAAGGCCAGGGAAGGGGAGCAAGCAGAGTGAAGCGGGGTCACCCTGTGGCAGTGTGTGAGTTTATGACCAGGTTCTGAGCAACCCTCTGGGCTGTCATATCATGAAACATGGAAACAGCATGTGGGGAACATTGCAGAGGGGGCAGGCAGGTGATCAGGGAAGGGGAAATGGAGTTCAAAGAGAGAACAGAGAGAAGGAAAAGGAAGCAAGAAAGAGGGAAGAAGAACAGAAAGGAAGGATGTGAAATAGAAAAAGGGAGAAAATGAAGAAAGGGAAAAAGGAAGAAAACATCCCATGAGAAGTGGAACAAAAGAGGAAGCTGCTTCCTTATGGGCCCCTCTCTGTCATGGTGGACCCGGATGGAGGCTGTGATGACACACAGTGCACCTGTCCTGTCACCAGCAGGAGAACCAAGGGCTCAGAACCCCAGCTTGTGCTAAATGAGGAGCGAGCCTGCTCAAGCCTCACCCTACAGGCACCACCCAGAGCATGGTCAGCTACTTCCAGGAGGGCCTCAGCAGCCAGGCCTCAGCCTCTTTTCTCTGACCTGTGGAAACTGCCAACACCCACACAGTGCTTGTGGCCTGGCCTCCGCCCAGCCCTCATTCTCCACAGCACTGACAGCACTCACCACAGGAGTCTGACAGATCTTAAGGTCTCTTCTGGGGGAAGGTTTCTCTCTCGCTCTCTCTTTTGGCAGTAGTGGGGTTTAAACTTAGGGCCTTGCACTTGCTAGGCAGGTACTCTACCACTTGACTCACATCCCCAGCCCATTTTTGCTTTAGTTACCTTTTCAGACAGCGTCTCATGCTTTTTGCCCAGGGCTAGCTTCAGACTGCAATCCTCCTACTTACTCTTCCTATGTAGCTGGAAGTACAGGCATAAGCCACCACACCAGGCTTATTTGTTGAGATGGTGGTCTTGCTAACTTTTTGCCCAGGGTGGTCTCGAAGTACAATCCTCCCATCTCTGACTCTCAGGTAGTAGATTACAGACAGGAGTGAGAGACCATGCCCCACCTTGGTGTGTGTGTGTGGGTGACTCATCTATTAAAGGCATGTCACAAATCTATGGCGTAAACCAACCAGGATAATTTTCAATATCCTGAGCAGGCTGAGGACCTTTTAGTCACAGCTCCAGGCTGGCTTGTCCCTGTGTTTCTGACTTAGCTTCTCTCACACCTCTGTGGGGAGCTATCAACACTATTATGGGTCAGGAAATGCTGTCTTGCTCCTGTATCAGTCAAACAGAACTAGGAAATAAAAACTAAAACAAAAAGTAAAACATAAATATGCGGCTTGCAAATAGTGAGTTCATACAGCTCAGCAAATACATTATTACAGAATCAACTAATACTGATTTTAGTATGCTCACTAATTCTAATATTTTATGCTCTGGTTTTCTTCTAGAAATAAAGATAACAACACAATGACTAGGAATAAAAGAAATAAGCCGGGATGCCTGGTGGCCTCGTACAGCAGTGGTTCTCAGCCTCCGGGGACCATCTGAATAAGAGTTGAGGCCCCAAGCTGTCAAGATATGACAGGGGTGGGCCTTGGTGTGTGACTCTGTTTCCCTCCAAAGTTAAAGAGGCACTGGCTTAACATAGGACTGAGTTTGACTCAAGATTTCAGCATCAGAGATGCTGGTTAAGGTTAGCCACAGTGGCTCGGGCACAATGAGGTGGAAGGATTTCTAGGCCAGCCACAAGCACCTGGGGCTCTGTGGGCTTGGGGGCTGCCTCCTTGGGACCCCAGCCCTGGGCAAGGGCCTGAACTTACTGGTGAGGACCTTGAGGGTGAAAGGGTTCTTCTGCTGGATGGTGTGGGTGAAGTGGAAGCGTGCATTACAGCTGTAGTCAGTCTGCATGTCCTGCAGCATCACATTTGAGAAGTACAGGTCTCCATTATGGCCCTGGGAGACACGTTTGTCCTGGGTGATAGGTTCCATGGCTGTAAGGAAGCAGAGGTGTGAGGAGGGGGTAAGAGCAATGACAACAGTAATAACTATCACCATCGTTCTGACATTTGAGCACTTCAGAAGGCAAGCTGGGGGCCAGGAGCTTGCCATTACTTGGTTCAGTCCTCTCAAATCTGCTGCATGTGTTTTATGCACAAGAAACCAGAGGGCTAAACATCTCCTGGATTGTGAAGCATGGGGAAGAGCAGGATTTTAGATCTGAGGCTCTCTGACCACACTTTTCTAATCCTACTCATGCCAGAAAAGACTTGCCAGCTTCCAAGGCCAGCGGGAGGGACCATCAGCTTTCAGATGCTCCTCAAGTCAGGATTCAAGTTCTCATGCTAGAAGAGGGAGCCACTCTGCAGGTATATACCTTGACTCGTTCATTTTTATGCTCCAGAACCCAGCTTAGGACCTGGCCCCTAAGGTGAGAGCTCTCAACAGGTTGCTGAGTTAAATGAAACTGAACTTGGCCTTGCTGCATTTAATCAAAATTTAGCCATCATCAAATACAAGTCACATTTTTTTAATTTTTTAACCCCTAAGGAAAAAGCAACTCCTGATTATAACTGTAAGATGTGTAACAATCGATGGTGCACACCACCAATTTTAGAGGTTTTCTGATTTTAGAGATATTAAAATACAAAAATGTGTGCATTTTAGAATTAATGACATCATTGGAATGACTGAGGATTCAGATTATATTATTATATTTTTTCAAGTGCTGATATAAATACAAAAGACCAGGTTTCCATGCTGTCAGGTCTTTTAAGGCTGACTACCCATAGCTATCCCCTTTGTGTCCTCGCACTTGCTTTTTATGACATCATGTCTTCAAGCGCAAGGTCAACTTTCCCACAATGGGCCAGCTCTTCAAGTCATTCCTCAGAGATCTGCTGTCAACCTGCTATGGCCAGGCCCTGTACTAGGTGTTGGTGACAGACAGATGAGCAAGAAAGACAGTTCCTGCCCTCAGAGAACCCCACCTATCAGAAGAGATAACAGGTAAGTAAATAATTGCCATGTGATGTGGAGAGTGGAGCACAAAAGGAGGAAGGAGCTGGACTGCAGAAAGAGGCCGATTCCACTTAGGGGTCCTGAGCTAAAACCCTGAAGGCTGCATGTCTGGAGCCAGGCAGAAAACACAGAGGAGCTCTGAGCAGGAAGAGTGTATGCTAAAGGCTAAGAGCACATAGGCTATTCAAGGGCAGAGTGGAGAAAGTGGTAGAGGAAGGGCTGGAGAGGCAGAGGGACCAGGTCAGGAGGAGACTGTGCAAAAGAAAGGAGCCTGGGTGCTGAGGCTAGGGAGGATCCTTTGAAAAATTATCAGCAGCTGAGTGACTCAGTTCCATAAAGACTAGGGAGGTCTGTTATAAATAACTGAAAACCCGCAGGTGCCCTGGGCTGGGGCGATGTCAGAGAGAATGGAAAGAAGAGGAGGGCTGTGAGATTTGCTTGGGTGGAGGCATGGACACACTCGTGACAAACATGGTATGATGGACAAGAGGTGAGCCTGAACTGGAGCCAACAGGCCAACCACCAGCTGGTGGCCAGGCAGCCTTCCCCACAGATCTGATTAGGGAACAGAGGGCCAAGGACTGAGCACAAAACCACCCTAGCCCTGCAAAACAGCTCATAACACTGTCACTGTCACAGCCTGTTTTGGAAGTGGGGTGGCAAGAATTGGGGGATGGACAGAATGATGGATGAGAGACAGACAGATCTAGGTGGGTATATAGACTGATGGATGGACAGGAAGTGAGGGATAGAAGGTGGGACAGGGAAGGGAGACAGGACAGAAAGGGAGGGTGAAGGAAAGGCAGGGAAATGAACAGACAGATTATTAAATCTCTATTCACCTTTATAACGTTCCCTCCTTAATTTTAACTGAAAATATGTTCCATCCAGAAAGGTTAAATGAGCTGTCCAAGATTAAGCTTGAACAATTTATGAATTGTTCAAACTCTATCATCCCCTCAGCCCTTATCAAAGGTTTCGCTCCCTGCTTTGCCCTCATTCCTCCTGGAAATGTGAATCAGAGTAGATCCAGGTGGCAAAGATGGAAAGAGGAGGCTTGGTATAACCACCTTCACGGGCCTCTTGAAAACACACGCTTTCTCCTCCTTCTTCCTCCTTTTTCTCTTGCTCTTCCTCACCTTTATCATCACAAACAGTACCAAGAACTTCTTGCATGTGTGGCCTGGATCTAACGACTTCAGATGTATTAAATCATTTATCCTTACAATAATACCAATTATATCAGTCCTGTTTTTCTTTTTTCCAGAATAGAAAACTGAGACCCAGAGATGTTAAGCAACTTGCTCAAGAACACACAGCCAGAGCAGCCTCTCTGCAGAGCTGTGTTCTCAGCCATGTGACCATGTTGCACCTGTCTCTCACAGCTTATGGTCTTCCAGGTTGGGGGAAGTCCCTCCTCCCATTCAACACACATGCTGCACTCCTAAAATGTCTCTCAATGAACCACAGGCTCCTGCTACTTACAGCTGCTCATCCAGAAGATGACTGGGGATGGGAGGCCAGGTGGGGGGTTGCACTGCAGTGTCAAGGGGGCGCCTTCTTGAACCACGACAGGGTCCAGGTTTTCCTTGGGCCACAGGGGAGATTCTGGGGAGAAAGAGACAGAGGAGGGTGAAGTGAGGCTGGGAGTTGGGGCTGGGGCAGAATTGAGAGATGGGAAAAGGAGAAGGAAGGAGGTAAGAGAGAGGGGTAGGGCCTAGGAGCCAGGCAGGGGACTCTGGCAAGGGGTGACCATTGAGAAGAAGGAGAGAGGCCTTTTGTCAGAGTGGATCCCCATCTGTAGCTGCCCTCTCTGTTCCCCTCCACCCAGCCTGGAGTGGCTAGTGAGGTTGTGCCAGATTCTGGTCTGGAAGCTTCCTTTTCAGGGCACCTTTCTGAGGTGGGGAGACCCATGGAGGGTACCTGTAAGGCAAGGTCAGGGCCAGCCCTTCTCCCTCTGCCCGGGAGCAGGGCACATCAGCCCTGCCAACAGCACTCACTGGACACCTGTAGGCGGATTCGGTTGGACAGGGCCGTGCCAAATTTGTTTCGGGCAAAGCATTGGTACTCCCCCTCATATTCCTCAGGCCGCCCACCGCTGCGGAAGTCAATCACCAGGGTCCCAGACCTCCTCCTCATGGACACCCGGGGGTCCTTGGCAATGTTGAAGAATCTGCTGTTGCGAGTCCAGTGGAAGCTGTGGACAACAGGGGACAGGAGCAACCATGACACAGGGGCTGGGGCTAGGATCCAGGCGAATCTCAGGTTCCTGGTCTCAGTGTCAAGTTTCCACTCTCAGTTCCATCGCTACACCTCCATGGCATTGGGTCCAGGCCTGGCTGGGCAGAGCATGCAAAGCCCCAAGTTCCACTAGGTCTGCCAGGGCAGGGCTGTTGCTGGTATCTTTATGAACCAAGACTGGGAATCATGGCTGTGCGTGGTACACATTCAGCTACCACTGGGGGTCCTGTGAGTACATAATGGACGAGTAGGCAGGGCTTGTGATTTTTTTTTAAATCCAGAATTAGCCATTCCTTCCACCTCTCAACATGCCCAATCTCCTTCTAGGAATACAAATTCAATTCATATTTCACCCAACCCCAGCACACCAGGGAGCTAGCTCCTGGTCCCATAACTGGATAATCCACTAAAGCTACAGTGGATGGCTTAAGCTGTCAGTGCCCTGCTAAGTGGGTGTAGATGATGAAGCAGGAGCCACTCATTGCAGTCCCAGAGGCACCGGGACCCCAACTGGCCCTCCAGGGTATTGCAACTTGAGGTAGTTTTGGAGTCACTGCTGTGGGCTAGACCGTGTTACAGCAACCCGGGGCCAGGATAAGGCTGCACACAGTAGGAAGCCTCTACCACCCTGCCTTGTGTCTCCTGATGACAGACACAGAGACCTTGGGAGGTTCCTGCCAGGCTCAGGCTGTAGTGAAGACCAATAGCTTAATACCTGCTACATCTCTGGGGCTTACCTTTGCGAAACAAATCTGACCTTGGGGGTTGGGAGCATGGGTTTAAAACCAGATTTGATCCCTTACAAACTGGTGACAGTGGCAAAAAAACCTTAAAATCTCTGTGCCTTCATTTTGCCTCTTCTTGAGAAAGATATTGGTCCTGCTCCAGAGGAAACTAGGTGGTTAATATGACAATGTGAGTAGCAGCACCCAACAGCTTGGACAGGAACGGTTACAGCTCATGTCTGCTGACATCTCATTGTTCCCCACAAACACATAAGCAGAGACAAGCTCAGAGCAAAAAGACTTGAGTTAGCTAGGAAGAAGAATTTCCCATAAGCTCAGCACAGGGTGGATGATGGCCACACAGGCAGTGTAGAATGTTGTATGACGTCAGAAAACTTAATATCTAGTCCCAGCTTTTCACTGTGAACTGAAATGAGCCCCTTATTTTTCCTTATCAAGTATGTTTCCTGGTTACCTAAATTGTACCTTCCACCTAGTAGGTGCCCAGTGAATACGTTTTGATCGGCGAATCTAATTTTTCAGCTGCTTCATTCGCCTTATGCTCCAGGGGCAAGGGGGTGACATCAGTAGTGTCTTCTCAAGCCCCTTTCCCTCCACTCACCTAGGGGCTGGGTTCCCCTTTGCTTCACACTCAATCAGGATGTTATCTCGGGGGTCCACGATGTGGTCCTTCACTGACTGCTTGGTGATGGTCGGGGGCTGGGTCACTGCAACAGAGCACACAGAGACGGTTAGAGCGACAGGACCTGCTGGGGACCCAGCTTGGGGAATGGCTAAAATCAGGAGCTTCAGGAGCCACCTGGGCAAACAGGTATGAGCAGGACCCTACTCTAGAGATGCAGCTTCTTAAATGAGGCTGCAGGACAGGGATAGGGATGAGTGTCAAAGGCTGAGCCTAAGAACCCATTTAAGAAGATGCCAAGTGTTCTATGAGGAACTGGAAGCCAGGCTCTTGTTCCCTAGGCTTGTATCCCAAATGCCCAGTGCACTGCACAGTGCACAACAGTTCTTGAGAAATGTGCATTGAATGAATAAAGGAACAAAAGGAACTGTATTTCTGGAATTTAGGGACTGGTGGCTCTGAGCCCTGTGGCTCAACAGATGGTCAAATTGTGGTGAGGCAAGAGATGAAAGAAGCTTTCGTCCAAGAGAGTTTCCCAGGGGTTCCCTGTATGCCAACGAACCAGGTCCTCTGTTCTTAGTCCCAAGTCCCAGTATTCCACCCTGGAATCCTCAGCCAGCCACTGGAGTACTGGAGATGTGTAGTGGCTGTGGTACTCCCCAGCTTTCAGAGACCCTCTTCTGACTCCTGCTTCTCTGGCAATAGGATGTTCCAGGGAAGCCTTTCTCTTCTGTGTGGTACAGGCCTCACTACAGGGCTCTGGGGTCAAAGAGCCCTAGCACCACACCCAGCAGCAGGCATGGTGGTAAGACCACTGGTCTCAGGTTTATCTTTACCTGGCCTTCTCCCGGCCCTTCCTGTTTCCCTCCCACTTCCCAGAGGCACACAGGGGACTTACGCTCATTTTGAATGCTTGCTGTTAGTTCCAGTGGTTAGCATGGGTAAGGGGAGAAAAAGAGAATATTGTTATTGCACACAACTAACCCACTAACCAGCAGGTGTCATCATGTCCCAGCATGCAGGGAGAGGAGGGAGGTAGACTTGGTGATGGGGCATGGGGCTTTCTCCTCCCAACTACAGTTTGGTGGAAGAGCCAAGTAGATTTGGGAAACACACCTAGCAAGGGCTTCATTGAGAGGGTACTGCCTCCCACAGGAGTCCAAAGCCACAGAGTGGAGCAGGAAGACCAGCTTCTGATCAAAAGCAGATGTCACATACAGCTGAGGGCTCTGGTCTCACCTCAGTGAGAAGCCTGCCACAGGACCTTCTTCACCCACCTGGACTCCAAGCTTCTCTTTGACAAAATCAAAGTTTTAGAAAGAGCTCTAGACATTGTCCAAGGAATCTCAAATTCAAGAAAGGGTAGTCACTTGGTTCAGACCATATGGAAGTTTGCTGCAGAGCTAGAATGAGGACAAACTCTCCTGATGTCTGGTTCAGAGCTCTTTTTTAAGTCCATCCATGGATGGAGAAGTGAGTTAGTCAGGCCCAGGCCTCAGCATGCTGTTTTCCTCGACTCTTTGGACAAGGGTAAGAGGGAAGATCTTAGCAAGTGGAGACTTCCAGGGCAGTTATGACTGGCTGTTGTCCCCAGTCCCACACTGCCTTTCTGGCCAGGGACCTCATGAGAATCTACTTGCCTAAAGGTGCAATGACATTTGCAGCCACTACTGTGCTCCCAAGGAATTTATTACAGGGACACAACTGACCCAGAAGACAGAGGGGATGGCCTGTCTATGGACAAGGACAATCAAACTCCTATCCAGTGTCACATCACCTGCTGTCCTCTCCTTTTATGGAACTTGCTGTATGACAATGCCAAGTAGAAAATGAATTTGTTCTTTTGACTTCCAAGAGGGAGAAAAAGCCCTTCCAACCCAGCCCTGTGGGGTGAGCAGATGCCTGTCCAGGCTGTAAGGCCTCTGCCTCATGTACCTCTTTTCTTCTCCTGATGCCAGTAGCTGGACCTCTGGTCCCCATCCCTCCCTCCGAGGACAGAGTGTGTGGAGTAAGCAGTAAGCAGATGTTACTGAGGCTATCCTGCTGCACTATTTGTATGAAGGTGTGTGTGTGTGTGTGTGTGTGTGTGTGTGTGTGTGGTGTGTGGGGTGTCTTTCTCACTCCTTGGCCATCCTCTGTAGGTTCCTTAGAGAAAATGCTGAGTCCCCAGCCAGGCCACAGGGGGACAGAGGGGCAAGCTTCCAGCAGACTCATTTTCTGGCAAACTCACTCTGGCTGATGAAGTGACCCTTGGCTTTTTTCAAAGGTCACGCTATTCTTCTTGGGGTTGAGGGGAGGGAAGTGGCAGGTAGGAGGGAGATGCGTGTGACTTCATTGGCATGGTGTTGGGGGCCGGAGGCTGGGTGCTTCAATGAATGATTGTATAGCAGGCCCAGGAGCTGTTCCAGGAAGCTGCTGTGTCCAACTCCCCAGAGCAGAAGCAGGGCCAGGTCCTTGAGGCACAGAAACTGCCCCCAAAGGGGAAAATGAGTAGGACACCTGGCAGGGCAGCCTCTGGCCCCAGGCCCTCAGAGATGGAAGGTGGTTCACCCAATACAAGAGTGGGCCCAGGAAGAAGCCTGGCTGAGGAGAACCTTCTCCAGGGCAACAGGGTCCTCTCAGGAGGGCTTGCCTTGCTGTTGTCTGGTGTTCAGCTCCACAGATTCATTCTGGAGACATGCTGTGGCCTATAGCTACCAAGGAGGTACAGTATGTAGGGGGCCTCCTAAGCTGACACAGCCTGGGCCACCTGGAGTGGTGTGGCATAGGGACTCCCCCTCTCCATCAGGGTGGTATAGCAGCTGAATCCTGGCTCTGAAGCTTCCTTGTTTGCTCAGTTGTCATCTGAGGACAACCCTGCTTCCCAGATTAGCTGGGAGAATAATATGTGGTCAGAAGAGTGTGGCCTGGAAAGCTGTGATTCTAGAGGGCTCCAAGAAAGATTAAGAGGAGGCGGGTTCACAAGGCAGAGGTGGAGCATATCAAGTGCCAAATTAGGGGGTCAAGAGAGCTGGGTTCTTGTCTAATTCCACCATCATTCATTGTGCGAGCTTCTCTGAACACAACATGGAAGGGAGGCACCTTTCTAAGATGCTGGATGGGGATGTGATGGTGGAGAGGTCAGGACTCTTGGGCCTCTGCCCTGGGCAGTACTTTAGAGAGACTTGCTTGCATTACCCATCATGTCTCTGGCTCCTGCGTGGGTCAGAAATTCCAGTTCTCAATGTGAATGCTAAAGCCTGCTGTTTCTGGGTTCACCTTGCAGGAGCCCTTCCCCCAGCAGCCCTGGGCATCCTGTGGCAAGTGAGTGAGTGAGGAGAAGCAGCAGAAGAGAAATGAGCCTTCACCACATTCTTGATAACCCGATTTCCTCTGCATCCCCTCCTCTCCAGGGACATGGCCTTATCACTCTCCTTATTAGATTGTCTGCCTGGGACTGTTAATGAGAAACTTTCCTTGAGCCAGCCGCAAAGACGGTCGCCATGGGAACAGTTCCTCTCACACCTTTCCTCTCTTCCCTCCTCCCTACGGGTGCACATACACTCGGGACTAAGGGAGGGCAGCAGGGGCTTTGCTCATCTTGCTTCTGGGTCCCAATCATGATCATTACTGGCTTCTGTCACCAGAGGCGCCTCCTCTTCTCAGGCAGCTATTATTGGTGATGTAGGGTGGAAGAGGGTCTGGTTTGGAGAGCTTTGTGGTGACCTCTTGGAGGTGTTAACTATTCTCCCTCCCTTTCCGTAGACATCCGTGAACTGGAGAGGGCCCAAGTCCATGTTGGCATTACAGGAGTCCCACATATTCCCTGAGCAGGGAGCAGGGGCAGAGGTGGTGTGCCCACACTTTTGCGTCCTAGCCGAGTGTGAGAACTGTGGCAGAAGAGGCACATGCCTACCAACAGGGCCAAGGAGTGTGGCTGCGGATTAGTGGGATATCTATGAAGTGACGACAGACTGGCAAGTGGACACACTGCTCAGAGGAGCACTTTAGGCCTCTTTATGATTTTGGCAGGTAGACAGTGCCTCTGCCAATGAGAAGAAGAATGACATGGATTGCACATTTCAACTTTCCCACTTACTTTGGGAAGGTTGGAAACAGAAGGAATCCATGCCTGGTTCTCCCGTGGTAGCATTATAAAGTGGCTTTATTTTAATGTTTTATTTAGCCAGGCCTTTTGCAAAGATAATTCCCTTGACATCCATCCCCAGGCCTTTCATCCTGCTGATCACTCTAGCCAAAAAGGGCCTTGGGGTTCAGCTTTGGATCTATCAGATTAGAAATGCAGCTAAGCACAGCCCATCATACTTGACCCTGGAAGCTGCTGTTAAGACCACATAGGGCTAAGGGAGGTGAGCAGAGGGAACAGTTCCAAGTGGCTATCAGAATTCCAAACTCTGTCACCTCTAGTTCTAGTCACCAGGTCCGGGCATCAGTACAGCCATAGCCATGGCAACTTATAGTCTCACATTTTCAAATATGAGCCTATGTTAATTTTTTGGAGAGAAAATTAGCTCTGAATCCCAGAATACACTGCTGCCTGTTCTCTAACCTGCTTGAAATAGTCTTAACCTTCCACTCTCATCCCACACCCATTTCCCCTCCCTCTCACTCCTCTGCCCAAAATCAGGAAGAAAAAGAGAAGAGCACAGAGCAGGACTCACGATCCATAGGAATCTCGATGGCCCCACCAAGGCTGAGGAGGAACAGGAGGAAGGCTGCGTTGACCCAGGGCGGTGCCTGCTGCCTGGCCATCCTCAGTACCAGGCCCCACTCCCTGCTCCCCAGCCCTTGGGGTTTTGCCGCCTCCTGCTGCTCTAAGTGGGCCTCCCAGAGAGAGCTCAGCTGTGGAAAGAAACACAACAGCAAGTAAGTTCCTCCTGAACTTGTGGTTTGTTTTAGTAACCCTCCAGGGCTTTGAAAGACTTAAGGGTCCCCTTGGTCATAAAGCAGAGGGATGTCCTAGAACAGGGTTTCTAGCCCAGCACTGTTGATAGCTGAGACAGAATAATTTTTGCATCAATCTCACCACTTCCCTGGACCACATGCTGTGTATGCCTGGGACTGAATGAGTTTGGGGTGTGGGAACAGAAACAAGGTCTCAGCAATGTCCTTTGACCTTAACGTGAGGGGGTAGCATGACTTTGGCAGCCCTGGGGATAAGTTGGGTAGGTGAAACCTAGCTGTCCAAAGGAATTTTTTTTTTTTTGGATGAATGATTTCTGGTGGTCCCTGATGTTCAAAACCATGGTAGTAGTGAGACAGTGACCCAGAAGAAACAGGCTTTGGGTGGTCAGTAGAGTGGCACATTTACAACAGTTCAACGTTCATATTCTCAATCACAAGAAGGCATTCGTTCCAGGCTTACATGGGAAAGGGACAAAAATGACTATCCAGGGGGAATGGATCCTTAACGGATCGTGAGAGAGAAGAGCAAGAAGACCTCCAGTGAGATTCAAATGCAGTGCTGTAAGATTGCCTGGGACTCTGAAACACTGAGTCTAAATAATTGGTCCAGTTTGTGCTCTACTGTAGGGCCAAGTCAAAGAGGAAGGAAGGAGGTGGCATCTCCAGAATTCTTCCAGCTTCTCTGGACTAACAGCTACCTATCAGTTGGACACAAAGTTCTCTTGTTCCTACTTTATTTGGCAGCAACCTGAGTCCCACTATCAACTGTACACTCCCACCATCTCCTATCCATCCTGAGGGGCTAGAGGTCAGGGCAGGTCCTTGTCCCACAGGAGCTTTTGGATACCTAGAGACCTGGAGCAGGAAGCAGGTCACTGATTACTGCAGTAGGGTGAGGTGCTTCCCTCGTGCTGGCATGTGGGGCAAGCTGAAGGATTCTGACTCACATTTCAGCAGTTTCTTCCCTGATGCTGGGCCCAACATCAGCCCCCAACTTCATGAATATATCTGGGCTGCATCTGCCTGCCTCCCTCTCCACTGATACAACCTTGGTTTTGATCATGAGCACTACTGCAACAGCTTCCTAAGCAGTCCCCACCACTTCCACCCTTGCCCTGATTCAATCTCCATCCATGACCAGAATTATTATTTCTGAAGTGCAACTGTGAATATGCCACCCCCTAGGCCAACTCTCAGTTGCTCACTGTTCCTGAAAATTCGAGTTGACGTCCTTGACAGAATCCTTGCACCTGCTCAGTGCCCCTGCCCTGCTATGCTGTGTCCAGCCAATGCTGTCTTAGTAGGTCCAAGTGACATGCACACAGATTAACTTCTCTGCAGAACACTCTTTGGGTGTTCCTCTCTTGCAGGATTTGCCAAGTTTGACTTATATACTTCTCATCTGTGCTCCTGCATGCTTGTAGCCACTCCCACCCCCAACGCAGGCCCCATGATGGTATCTTTTATTTGTATGCATTCTGAAAGTCACTTAAAGGCTGGATAAGGAAAGGTGACCTCTCCTGCTTACTGTTTTATTCCTAGAATTGATCACAGAATCAAAGATACATTAGGACCTCAAAATATGTGGTAGATGTATATACAGAAGAATGAGCAAATGGGTGATTGAGTGAATGAAAGAAGCCACTTAGATCATGCATGCGTGTGTTTTTAAACAAACTCATGTTTCTCTAGAAAACCACCAGGTGGCGCAAGAGAGCACATGCTGTGAATCAGGCAGGGTACTGTGAAGGAGACCAGTTAGCTGGGGAAAACTCCCTTTGTGCAGGTTAAGATTACGCATTCTGGCCAAGAAATCAACCAGTTGAAGAGGGTCTAAGAGGGCAGAAAATCTACGAATCTTCTTTGGCCAGAATGCATCATAGGGGGTCTTTGGTTCTTCCTCCTGACTTTCTAAGACAGCCCTTACACTCTCCCCCAAAGTGCCAACCAATGTCTCTCCTTGCCCAGACTACAGATTTTCCAGCTAAACCTTCAAGTGGATGGAACTTGCACTAGAGAAAGGCTCAGATTTCCTTCAGGGAAGGCAGTGGGATGGCTCTCATTTTGGCTCCATGGCCACCATGTTTTGCTCAGGACCTGCCAAGCAGTAGGAAGTGATGGGAAAGGGAGGGATATTTTATTTGGGGAATCTTGATGGAATTAGAAAGCCAAAAGCTATTCATTAACAAGAAGCACTCTGGCAGGGACCTTTTAAACTCACAATTTTTAACACCACAGCAGAAAAAGACATCAAGATAATTGCATTTAGCTGTCTGGCCCACTGGAACCCAATGTTTCCAACCAAATCTTAAGAGGAAGAGAATTTAAAGATTACTTAGTTTTATACAATTCCCTTACTTTTCTCAGATGAGGAAGCAAGATCCCAGAGTAGGAAAGTGACTTGGTCAAGATCACTAAGCTAGTTAGTGGCAAAGGTAGGCCAGGTGTTCTGAGTCTTAGCCCAAGGTCTTTCTATCCAAGCTCCTTGTCTTTGATAGGCAGGAAAGCCCCAGAGTGGAGTTTCTGTTTTAAAAGGAAATATATTCTCTGGCAGTTCCTCAAAAAGTTAAACATCGCCTGGAGCCTGTGGCTCATGCCTGTAATCCTAGCTACCTAGATCGGGAGGACAGCAGTTTGAGGCCAGTCCGGACAAAAAGTTCATGAGACCCCTATGCTGGGCATTGTGGTGCACACGTGCCACCCCAGCAACAGCAAGAAGCTAAAAACATGAGGATCACAGTCCAGGCTGGCCTGGGCCAAAAAGCAAGACCGCCACTCAAAAATAACCAGAGCAAAAAGGGCTGGAGGCATTGCTCAAGCAGTACAGTGTCTACTTAGCAAGCCCTAAATGCAAACCTTAGTGCCACACATACAAAAAAAAGGTAAACATAAAAATGCCATCTGAAACTTCAATTCTACTCCTAGGAATATGGCCCAAAGATTAAAAACAGTACGTGTGCACACCTGTTCACAGCAGCATCATTCACAATGGCCAAGAAGTGGAAACAGCCCAAATGTCCATTAAGAGATGAATGGAGAAGAACATTTCAGTATACACATACTATTGTATTCGGCCATAGAAAGGAAGGAAATACTGATACATGCTACAGTGTGGATGAACCAAAAAAAATGCTCAGTGAAAGAAACCATACACAAAAGTTACAGACTGAATGATCCCATGCACAAATTTCATATAAGAATAACCCAGAGTAGGAAATGCAGAGACAGAACAGGACTGGTGCTGACCAGAGGGGGAGGGGAAGGACATGGGGAGAGAGAGTAATTGGTGTGGCTTTCCTTGGAGGTGAGGAAGAACTAGATAGAGGTGGTAGTTACATCTGATGTGAATGCAATACATTCACTAAACCACACACTAAAATGACTTATTTCATGCGAGTTTCACCTCAATAAAAACAAAGGTGTAACGTTGGTCTCCGTACTGCACATAAAGGTTAAGGGCTAAGATGAGGAAGGTGGGTTATCTGACACAGGCATGCGGGGTCCTCAGCACAGAAGACAGGTACAGGGTCTACAACCTTTCCATGCATGGTAAGGAAATTTCCACCTGAGTCAAAGGAAGGGAGGCCTGGGGTTTCTATGGTGAGCCCAGAGATCCTACTGCTAGGTGAGGTAGAGATGCCTGTCTGAAGTCCCTCCCCACCCCATATCAGCAAGGTTATCATCCTTCACTCTGACAACCAGGGAGGAAGGGCAAAAGGACAAGGTTAGGCTCCCAGCCAACAGCAATCTCATTCACATTTCCAACTCAACCACAATGAGGGCACCACCCTGCTTTGTGGTCATCACACCATCTTTAGGGTCCTCTTCCAGCCTTTCCCTTCAGAAAATGCAGCAGAGAATGCTTCGGGATGGAGAAATACAACATCCAGATGGAAGATGTGACTGTGGTGAGACAGGAAATCCCACATCCTTGGAGGGAAAGGGGAATAGGGTAGGTGGGGACTGAAGAAGAGGGTCAATAGGTCTGTCTTCCAGTGTTCGAAGAGGGAGCAGAATTGTTTTGTTTAGCTTCACAGGGGTAAAATGAGGACCAAGCAGGAGGAAGTTCCAGAGGTGCTTTCCTGAGGTGCAGGGAAGAATCACCTGACAAGGACAGCCACCACACAATACAACTCATGAAAATTAAACACACCACCTGCACATGCTAAAAATATATATGTTTGTAAGGATTCTTTAATATCTAATCAGATAAGAGAAGGATTGCAAGGATATAAAATACATTGCGGAGTAGAGTAAATTAAAGAACAAAAATAAATAATTCAAAGAAATTTTGTGTGGACTAATGGTATACTATAAACTGGGGATCATAATGAACTCAGTTTTTCTGTCTGATGTCTCCTCAATCCCCCTCCCCACACACATGGCAAGAAAAGAAAAAGTCTAGGACCACCTGAACAGGAACTGCTTGATCATGTTAAGTAGTGAGCTTCACAAAGAATCTGAATAGCATTTGTTGAGTGCATTACTGACAGTGTTCCCACACAGGAAGGAAATGGGACACTGTTCAGATTCACCTGGGCTCTACTTAAACATGCAAACTCCTAAACTGTCAACCTGTATCAGGTTGTAGCTATTGTTTTAACTTTGTGAATTTCTTGTTTTGTTTAGGTTTTTTTTTTTTTTTTTCAGACAAGGTCTCACTATGTATGTAGCCCAGGCTGACTTTGAACTCCTCATCCTTGTGAGCCTCCTAAGGGCTGGGATTACAGGTGTGCTTCACATGCCTGCTTAACTTTGTGAATTTGAATGCCATAGGACCTCTGTGTTTTCTTACACAGGGCTGGTCCACACACTTGACCAACCTGGCTGAACTCATGGCCTTGACATCTGCAAGCCCTGTGAGAGATTTGGGTTCAAAATTCTTGAGGTGAGGTATAAGTGATTTTGGTAATAATTGGCCCCCAATAAAGATCTGG